GTGTGTGCATGTGCATGTGTATACGCCGATATTCACCACACTCTGCAGGGCCTACCATGGGTCCCGTAGCCTTAGCGAGTCTGAAATCACGACAGAGTATGGCAGTGGCGTTAGGATTGACTGTGTGAAGGCAGATCTATGTGCTGGACAACGCTCAGGTATGGCTACATCATGCTATGCATGTTCAGTAGTATTCTGCTGCTGCTGCTGCGGCAATCTGAGAAGCCAATGTTATTTTTGTGTCGCCTATAAGACTCCGTATACGCATCGGGTAGTCATGTACATCTGTGGGGAGACAGCACGAGAGAGTGGAACGTGAAGACATGTGGGTTTCACTCCCGGGCTGCCCGTTACAGTAAGGAGGATACCACCGATGATGATGTGTTCTGCTGCTGCATGTCGGCGCTATGCAAACCCAGCCTGCACCCAACTGTTTATTAGCTCATGGCAAACACTCTGTGTGGAGTTTACCTAGTCATGTTGCTGCTGTCATTGTGTGTGTGGACTCTGGAGGATAGCTACAATGTGCCATTCTTATCAAGTCAAGTTGTACAAGACATGCATGTATATGTATATGCAGTGGCCCGTGTGCTAATGCTGTACTGCGTCTGTGTACATGCGCTTCGTTCCTTGCATTGCAGAGCACTACTTCTTTTTCGACAACTACTTTGACTCGCCGGCCATTCCGATCCTGGCCGCTCTCATTGACTGGACGGATGCGAAGGTAGGTGAAATGCCGTCGCGTTTCCAAGTGTGCAGATCACCTAAGGAAATGAAGACAATTTGAGAGCCTGGCCGAGCTGTCAAGCGAGTGCATGTGTGTCGTTAGCAGTCCATGCGTCATACTTCTGAAGTACATGTATAAACAATAGTAAGAGGACGAAAAAAGTGTTTTTCCTCCTCGCTTCACGCACTATTAAAGCGATCATCAGAAAACAGTAACTGTTGTTTGATCCAGCTCTGCCTCTCGGTATTGCGTACTCTCTTGGACAGCCTGGAACCTCTCTATTTTTAATTAGATGTATATGTGAAATGAGGTTTGGTGTGCTGGGTAAAACTGCTAAAAATCCACATGATTTAAGACCAGGTGGTGTTTACTACGCCATGGTGATGTAGGATGGCAATCAAGTATGGCTGACAATGGGCACCGGAAACTGGCAGGGTGAACCGGCAGACCTTTGTTAACTACAACGTGCTTTCCCAGATGCTCGAAGTCACACTGGGCAGGATTCATCCTTGCTCTTCTCAAGGAGGAATTATCCCCTTTCCATTTCTCCCATGGCCTCAAGTTTCTACCTTCTCCGTAAACTGCAACTTGACACGTTTTCTCTGCACTGACATTATTCACACTGAGCTAAGTCTTACTACTAGTCTAGTAGTTCGATTTAGTGGTAGCAACTTCGGCGATGATTTGGTAGGAAAGTCAGTCAGTCACGTGTCAAGTCAAGTCGGTGGAAAAGCGCGAGCTCCAGTGTGCGGTGCAAACCCTCTCCTAAGTTTTAGTTGACGGAGGAAGTAGCGTAAACATTGCCTTTTAGTTTCTGCCAACATGTTTGTTTGTGTCGGCTTGTTTTGTTTTTCTGTCATTGTTCTGTATTCAGTTGGAACATAAGTGGGAACCCGGTGCTAAGGAGCGTGACTATTCTGATATTTGGACTCCACTTATCGAGGCATTCAACACCACCTTCCGCTGTGGAGCATTCAAAGGTTCGTGTTTTAGTCAGCTACGTGCCGCGCCTTGTCAGGACTCTGATTTTCATCTGGTTGCAGTGTTCTTTCGCACTGTGGACATTCCACCGCACGCTGTTGAAAGGTGAATCCTTTCCTCAAAGTCACTCCGGCCGGTACATGATTGCCATCGACATGTGTTGCAAATTGTACAAGCACAAGTAAAGTATCGTTGCCTCCCCCCCCCCCCCCCCCCCATTCATTTTCTGTTTGTGAAGCGACTTCGACTGCAGGGTATCACCATTACATTACATTGCAGCAGTACATGTAAATGTGAAAGGAAATAAGGAAATATAAAATGGTCTTGTAAAAGACTATTGCTGCCAACAGCACGGGTGTATTTGTTGAATCTTCCCCTTGACTATGAGTATCATGGCGAGAGACATTGCAATCACTCTCTTTGCTTTGGGCATTAGTCTGAACTTGCTTGCTTGCTCATCACAGATTTTATTTGCTTGATTGCATTACCGTTTGTGCAGAGGGTACCGGTGGCTTCTTCCCAACATTGCAGAAAGATCCGGAGCCTTACGTTCGGCAGGTCACGCCCGGAGCGCGCCGCTGGTTGGCTGAGTTGCGTCGACAGGGCAGCCAGCTGTTTGTGCTGACCAGCTCACACTCGGACTTTGCCCATTTCCTGCTCGACTACTCTTACGGGTACGTAGAAACAATTATTACTATCACTGGGCAGTAGTTGAAACAGAGCAACCCCTGTGTTTTGAAACCACTCTGTTGTGTTAAGCCAGCACCTGGCTAATGAGACCGGTCAGTTTTTTACGGTAATAGGATACAAACCATGGTACAGCCGAATGTCACTTATCCGACCACTTCGGGAATCAGGCATGTCGGATAACTGGATATGTTGGATAACTGATATCATTTTTTTATGTGTATATATGGCTGGATTTCACTGATTTATGTACACAATACCCAAATATTACATTCATGAATTGCTCCATGTACACATACATGTTAGCATACTTGACCACATCTACTTCAAGTAAATGCATATTGCACCGTATAATAATTATACAAAAAATAATGATATTTTTTTTAAATTTTACTGTTGAGAGTCATAAAATTACCACTCCCGGGCTTGTCGGATAACCGACGTGCTCGGATAACTGGCAACCGGATAAGTGACATTCGACTGTACTAGAGTGTAACCTGTGTAAGACCACCGCTCAAGGGACCTTCAAATGTGATCTCTGTAACCAGGTGGTCTTCATATCCATGGTTATTTCAACTTATTTGACTGGAAATAGCATCCCTTGGTCCTGGTTGCGGACAGGTGGTCGCCTTATCCGAGTGGTTGCCTTGACAGGGGTTTTTTTTTTTACTGTGCCTGCATTTGAAATTTTGAACCTGTATTAAAGAGAAATGTTCCGGACTGTCCAATAGAGTGCGGCAGAGGACCAGCACTGAGCTTATCAGTTATCACTTGAAATATTTCTGTTGCAAAATGTGCCACTATTGGAGTATTGCACATTGCCCTGTAGATTACAACTGCCAACTGTTTGTGTCGCTGGCACTTGCTGCTGATGTGCCAATTCACGCAGTGATGCACTGCACTAAATTGATCGTTCCCTACTGCTGCTCTGGCTGAACACCTTTACACTGTGGGGATGTAAGCCAGCATCCGGATGTTCTCATCACTGTTGTCTGATGATGGCCTACTTGTGAGTGATTGTCGGAGTCACGGCAAGTTATCCCTCCTCTTCTGGTGTTGCATTTGAACCTGTGTCGACTTGAAAGACCACCTGTCTCAAAAGACCATTTCTAGACTATGCACAACGGAGTAGTCACTACGCATGGATTTCATTGTAGCTGTGACTGCTGCTGTCTTGTTGGCTAGGTCTTATAGTCCTCTGCGCTCTGCACCCGTCTCTCGTTTTCTTCCTTCAGGCCGTCCTGGCGCGAAGACTTTGCTGTGGTTGGTGTCAATGCCCGGAAACCTGGTGAGTGGGTCTTGTTTGGAGTGTGTTTGCTGCTACTTCAAACTACTAGTGTACAATCATTACTCGCGAATAGCAAGGTCCCTGGTTCGAGTCCCGGTGGTGTGACTGATGATTTTTTCTTTCTTTCATAGCTGGCTTGCAAGTGTTGAGTTTCGGAGAGAAAAGAGCAGTACGTGGCATGAGGCCTCTAATTTCCTAAAACTTTGAAATTCTTCGTGAAGTCCAAATTTGAAATTACTAGTGTACAATGTATGAATTTACGTGAGGCCCGCCAGAGAGCGCATGTAGTGGAGATGAAACAAATTATTTGTTGTGCCACCCCCACCATAAGCGCTCTCTGGCCGACGTCATCCGCGACAGCAACATGACTCCAAGTCGTAGGTATTGATTGGCGAATAGAATTTCCTCCATACAGCACTGTTTTTGACTGGGAGTCATGTTGCCGGGTGTGAATGAGGTTGGCCAGAGAGTACATATGGTGGAAGTGGAACAAATTCACTGATAAACAGGCCGAAAGCTGCTGATTGTCCTCGTGTTACTAGTGTATAAATTATGTCAAAAACAAACCCTGTGTCCCATATCGGGTCGCATTAAAAAAAAACTAAGAAAATTAGAAAGATTTGCTGTATGTCGTTACTTAGCTTGATTCTTGCAATATGGTGAAATCCGTACGGGAGGGGGGGGGGGGGATTATTTTAGAGAGGGTGGTGACATATTCAGCTCCTCCAGCAACGTCTGACAAGTACAGTAGCTTTGGACTACACTGAATACCCATTCTTTTTACCGTAGTATGTGTTAGCTGACATCACCAGCAGGCACCAAGATTATGTTTTCGCCTTCTGAACTATGCGCAATGTACACATGACTGTACAGTACTGGACCGTTGCTAGTTGATATGTTGACTATCACGCCCCTGGTGAGGCTGTGTGAAATACCCCCCCCCCCCCCCCCCTGCCTGGGTTATAGTCTGGCAAGGGATTGCATTGTTCAATCATCTATCAACTTCTCATGCTAGGTGTAGTTTGTGTCACTGCGGATGTGCCAATTCAGCCCGTGTAGTGGTCTTTTTGCTGGGGAAAACCCTTCCACCTCACACCCCGCCCCTCTCCCTTTTCACCCGCTCTCATACTCTCTGCACCTACACCTTTAATAGCTGACATATTTCTCATCTTCGTTCACTGTTCTACCACGCGGCACAGTTTATCTATTACGTGTCTTGGTTTGTTGCCTTTAGTTCAATTGGTTACACTGCTGATGGGCCCATGCCCAAATATTTGGTGAATGAAAAAACTCAAAAGGATTGCGACAGAGAGACCATTTAGTATGAACGTTGAGACTGAGCAATACCTCTGAACCACTTCGTACAGGGCCATGCTTATTTTCACGCCGGCGCTTGTTTTCCCGTATGTGCTCTTGCTGGTACACTGTACACATGTTCAATGTGGTTTATTCTGCTTTGGGATTTTGTCACTCTGCTTGTGCTTGTGCGTGTGACTTTGGGCAGGTTTTTTCGCTGAGCCGCCGTCATCGCGTCCGTTCTTCTCTCTCAGTGAGTCCTTTCTCCCATGTTTGTGTTTGGCATGCCAGCACAAGCACACACGCGTGCACGCACGCACGCGCGCGCGCACACAGAATGCTGTGTGCATGTTATCAAGAGTACACGAACGAGCGTGTAACTGCGCATGATGTAGGTTCCGAACTCTGGAATTTGCTGTCTACGTCATTTTTTGATGATTTGTGGAAGCTGCGATTCTAAACAATCTGTAACATCAGTACAGCTTGCGCTGCAGTTTGTACTGTACATTGACGTTGAAATGACTTTTAAAAGACACATTGCAATTTCCCGACATGGTCTCAGCTGCACACTCTAATTTTTTTAATTCTCACGGTTTGCGTGAGACTCGGCTGGAAGCCAAGTTTTCCGCGTCCGTAGGAACGCCACCACCCTCTTGGATCAAGGCGCAGATGCAGCTCCTAAGCGGTGGATCTCCTCTTGGTGTTGTTCTATTACAGATGATCACTTTGAGAAGGTTGAATGCTCCGTGTCTGATCTCAAGCAGAACATGGTCTTTGCACAAGGCAACTGTGCAGGGCTCAATGAATTCTTTGCTCGCCTCACAGGCAAGGAATCGCCCAAGGTACATGTGTGTGTGTGCACGCGCGTGCACATTTTGTTGTCGACGTTGTTGTTGTTGTTGTTGTTGTTGTTGTTGTTGTTGTTGTTGTTGTTGTTGTTGTTACTGCTGCTGCTGCCGCTGCCACTGTTGCTGCTGCTGCTGCTGCTGTTGCCGATGCTGTTGCTGTTTTAATGCATTATTTCCTTATGCAGAATCTGAATAGAGTGTGCACTGTGATTTGGAATGTACAGTACGGATCGAGGAGAGCTTCAGTTCCCCTTGTCCAGTCTTGTACACTGTACACTGTACTCTGACAAATTTGCCTTGCCTGTGCGGCTTGATTGTGCTTGCTCAGGTTGCGTACTTTGGCGACAGTATACGCTCCGATGTCCTATGCCTGAACAAGGGTAACTGGGACCCCGTAGCCATTGTGGAGGAGCTGTTTGTTGAATCACCCAGCAACATTCCACCTCGGGTAAGCATCGTTGTACTTTGTAGCTCTGTTCTTGATAAGTAATGCTGCGTACGTGTACCACTTCCATTACTTTTAACGCTCTTGTTATTACGAACTTAGAAGTTGCGACTTCGGCGGTAATAGTCATGAAGTTGATTGTTCCAACTAGGAACACACGCTTCTTGCCGAACTTGACACTTGACTGACTCACGACTGCCATCCGGAGCACACGAGGAGCACGTCGCACCTTCCACTCGGCAAACCTGCAAGAAAGCACCACTCCCTGCTCAATACACGGTGTTTCGGGGAATTCACCCCTCATCAGTTGAGCTTGAGTAGGCTGAGGAAGATTGTGCCTGAAAAGCACCACTTATATACTGCTCTCCAGGCCAAACCATCACCAGGGATACAAACTTACAGAGACGCTTTGTTTCCAGCGCGACAAACACCTCGTGAAGCTCCAGGTAGCAGCGTGAGTCAGAGTCGCTCATGGAGTTGTGATAAACAGACGTTGAGAGCCAGTATAGCTATTCGCAACGCTGTCACCTCCAACAACTAGTCGCACGTCCGCGTGAGGGACAACAATACGAACTTAGAAGTTGCGACTTCTAGAAGCTTGTGAGCAAGAAGCGTGTGTTCCTAGTTGGAACAATCAACTTCATGACTATTACCGCCGAAGTCGCAACTTCTAAGTTCGTATTGTTGTCCCTCACGCGGACGTGCGACTAGTTGTTGGAGGTGACAGCGTTGCGAATAGCTATACTGGCTCTCAACGTCTGTTTATCACAACTCCATGAGCGACTCTGACTCACGCTGCTACCTGGAGCTTCACGAGGTGTTTGTCGCGCTGGAAACAAAGCGTCTCTGTAAGTTTGTATCCCTGGTGATGGTTTGGCCTGGAGAGCAGTATATAAGTGGTGCTTTTCAGGCACAATCTTCCTCAGCCTACTCAAGCTCAACTGATGAGGGGTGAATTCCCCGAAACACCGTGTATTGAGCAGGGAGTGGTGCTTTCTTGCAGGTTTGCCGAGTGGAAGGTGCGACGTGCTCCTCGTGTGCTCCGGATGGCAGTCGTGAGTCAGTCAAGTGTCAAGTTCGGCAAGAAGCGTGTGTTCCTAGTTGGAACAATCAACTTCATGGCTCTTGTTATTATTTATTTTTTATTTATTCAACATCTCCTGGCTCGCTGTACGGCTGCCAATATTTATGAGAAGTCGGGTGGTAGCCAACCACGGCGAACTAAGCAATAAGGAGAGAAACAAAAGAGAGTACTGCAATATTCCCCGTGCAGCTGTGGCAAGTACACTGTGCTGCTGCTGCTGTCTATGATTGCTGCAGTTTTTTAATTTTTTTTAACTATAGCAGACTTGTGATGTGATTATGGATGCACTCGATTGCATGCTCTGGACCGACCCAGTTTTGAATATTCACCAATGACCGTTGTTGTTGTTGTTGTTGTTGTTGTTGTTGTTGTTGTTGTTGTTGTTGTTGTTGTTGTTGTTGTTGTTGTTTGTTGTTGTTGTTGTTGTTGTTGTTGTTGTTGTTGTTGTTGTTGTTGTTGTTGTTGTTGTTGTTGTTGTTGTTGTTGTTGTTGTTGTTGTTGTGGTTGTTGTGGTTGTTGTTGTTGTGGTTGTTGTGGTTGTTGTGGTTGTTGTGGTGGTTGTGGTGGTTGTGGTGGTTGTGGTTGTGGATGTGGTTGGTGTGGTTGTGGTTGTCGTCGTTGTTGTGGCGGTGTTCACTTCAGGTCCATGTAAGCAATTCAGTTCAAAACGGCAATGGCTGTTCATCACCGCCACTGGCTAAACGTGCAAAGATGGAGGTGAGTGTCTCTAGGGCTAGGCTAACCTAGGGTGGGCTGGCTTGGCCTGGCCTGGCCTAGCCTGGGCTGAGCTGGGCTGGGCTGAACTGGGCTGAGCTGGGCTGGCCTGGGCTGAGCTGAGCTGGGCTGGGCTGAACTGGGCTGGGAGTGTGGCCGCGGTTCTGACTCGGTGGGCACACTCTGCACCAAAACTTCATGTTAAAAGATGTAGTTGGCGTGAATGTGAACATGTGTGTCTGCATGCACCAGTCTACACGTCACACGAGCTACACGTTTTGTCAAGGTGCACTCGGCGTGAACGTGAACTTGCGCATCTGCATACTCATGTCAACACTTGGCATTGCTGTATGTGCTGGCACTCACTTATAAACCGGTAAAGTACGGTAACTCTTCTGATCTTTTAAAGGATCAGTCGGCTGATTTTGTCAGTTCTTTGAACAAGATTTCCTGAGGTGACTCACATGTATCAGAGTCTCTATCAGATGTTCAGCATGACACGGGTCAAAAGCCCAGCATGACACGGGTCAAAAGCCCAGCATGACATGGGTCGAGCTGGCCACCATGGGTCGACTACATGAAGGGCCACCAAGGCCAGGAGCCAGCTCACCAAGGGCTAAATGATCCTGTTTGCTGAGGATGCACCAACCCTTGCCAGGGCCGGCAACCTGTCCGTCGAGGACTAAAGTGTGCTGCCCACCAAGGGCACATGAACGGCCGCCGAGGCTAATAACCTGCCCATTGAGGGCTAAACCCTACTACCCTCCGAGGGGCTTAAGCGTTCTGCCCACCATGGGTATACTGCCCACTGAGAGCGTCCACGACTACTGCCTGTCAAGAGCCAACGCACAGCCACCGAGGCCAACAACCTGCCCACCATGGACTAAAGCATGCTGCCGACTGGGGCCGATCACATACTGCCCACTGAGGGCATACGACCGGCCGACAAGGCCGACAACTTGTCCACCGACCCACCGAGGCCTGGCACAACTGCCTGGCGAGAGGCATCACACCACACACGTACATTATAATGCGCGCTTGCACCCCACACCGCAGGAGAGAAAACAAAGCAGCAGCCGAAAGAGCAAAGGCACGCGAATCCAAAGGGCGGGAGGGTGGGTAAAACAAAAACTGTATCTTGAAATACCAAGAAAGCAACAGCAAAGGAATGCTCCTCCACACCCAGGCAGCGCAAGAATGTGTGTCTTCCGATTTTTACACCATGAACATTTTGCCAATTCGCAAACCTTGCATGGACAACCATGTGACATATGCTCACAGCACTATGCCAATACAATGAATATTGCCTGTGTGCATGAGCTAAGTAGGCTTTGTTTGCGCACACATCTTCCTTGCTGTTGCCTGCAATACAGTCATTTCCCTTGACTCTTGTTGTTCTAATCAATGTGCTTGTACTCAATGCTATATTTTCATTCGAGCTTTGTATTTTATTTTGCTCTGTGTCCTGAGCTCGTACATGTACTGTATGTAGTTCTTCTCATGGTATCATCTGCTTTGTGTTTTCTATGCTGGGTATTCCGTGCTGCCCGCTGACGCTTGTCGCAGGAGAAGAGTATCAACGGAACTGACGTAGATGCCGACTTTGATACGCTGCGGTCGAGCGCGTGGGGGTCGTTCTTCGCGCACGATGGCGGTGCAGATACGCTCTGTGCGAATATGCTGCAGGAGCGAGCGTACGCTTGCGTGCCGTGTCTGCCAGAAGTCGCAGCATCCCACGAGAATTCGTCCTCCGGAGAGCATACCGGCTGATCAAGATTGATTGTGGCTAGGTGTCTTTGGTGGCAAGTACTTGTACACACAGCTCAAGCAAGGCACACTTTGGCACACGGGACGTTTCAGACTCAGTTTTTTGTGTGTAGCGCCCCTAATTCTGAGTAGTATTTATTCTATTTACTATTCCTCTTCAGATTATTACCGTGTGTGCGTGTTCGTGTGTGTGTGTGTGTGTGTGTGTTTACCTAGTTTGGGTCCATGGTTTGTGCCCCGCTGGTGTTACATTGTGAAATTGGCAACACATTCTAATGTAAGGAAGGAAACATAATGGATATGAGTTTAAAAGAGTATCCATATGCTCCTTTCCTTGCTCTATTTATTATTGGCTCAGTATCCCAGTTTCACATTCTAACGTGTCATGCTTTTCTCTTCACCTAGCTCTTTTACAAATTATTCACATTTTAAAGGCAATTTCCTAACTTGCCCCCGGAAGAGTTCTGTACTGCACGACTATTCAACGAAGTGCCCATTCTGTGTGATTGGCAAGGTATGTGGTGGGTGAGTTATTTGTCTACGGGTGTTGTCTAAGTTTTGTGCGGACTACCTAGGAGACTCCCTCGATTTATCCTAAGGCCTGTGGAGAATCCGTAAATACAGATACAATACAATACTACCGAAACACGCCACCTAAACCTAGCAATAGTGGTTGGCCCAGCGAGGGCCTGCAGTGAGGAATGCCAGTGAGTGCAGTGCGGTCATGCAGTACATGCTCACGCCATCACCCGTCATGATCATGTGTATACAAGTGTGGAATACGCCCCCGGCATGCCTGCCGTCAAACAGGCGGCTGCATAACTTACACACACGCCCACCCGCACACACACACACACACATGCCCGCCCGCACATTGGCATCACCATCACGGCCCGTGCAATTCGTTTCAACTGCTATTAACGCGTGTGAATGTTAACATTTCGCTGACAACGGCGAGAAAATAAGAATACTTGTCAGCTGAATAATGATAATACTACAAATGGTACAGCGTGAACCGATACAGAGGGCCAACGTCTTGCGCTGTGAACAAATCGTGCAGATCATAATAAGAAAGTACTTGAAGGATAGACAAACATGGCGAATCCAGTGTGGTTTACCGGCAGGCTTGTTCAGCACATAGCAGAGAAGATTGTACAAAAATTGCTCAACTGAGTTCACAGCAGCCTGCGAGATAGGAATGATGATTTGTCGTTGTGTGTGTGTTTCCGAGTTGCTTGTATAGCGTCAGTAATGTATTCTGCTGTCTTTAAGTCTGCAGCTGCATGGCGGGAACTGGCTCGTAGAGTGGATCGCCGGCCAGCTCACTCTGGCCTAGCTGATCACCAGCTCCGGCACCGTAACCGTCCATGGCACCGGCCGTATCGTACATTGGGTTTGACATTCCCAGCTCCTGCTGTAGGTGACAGGAAACCCGAAATACACACAGAAGAGAGCTAAGTACAATGTACAACGTAACTAACAATGCTCTTCCACCACATCTCCACCACATCTCCACCACATCTCCACCACATCTCCACCACATCTCCACCACATCTCCACCACATCTCCACCACATCTCCACCACATCTCCACCACATCTCCACCATCAGATCATGCATACTGGTACTGGTAGGTGAGTCATAAAACAACATGCATACCATCTCACTACTCACATCCAACTGCTAGTACTACTGTGATACAGTAGTACTAGTAGGCAACAAGCGGGTTCTGTGACAGGGGGCGTCCTGCCCCAAAAAACGGGGCATTATTGAAATGTGTTGTGTACATGTGGGTTGTACACTCGGTCCTATTCGGTTTGTTGCCCCCACACGACGGTCAACATGAAAGTCCTATTTGGCCATATTTGCATGAAACATGTTGGCACTGCACCCAGGTCTAATTATGCAGCACTTCACTAGCTGGTTCAGGAGTGAGGTAAACGGCAGCAACAGCTCTGCACCAAACAAAAATTATCTATCAGACTTCTCCTCTGTGCGAGGGATTGCCATAGGCAACTTACATCATCACCGAGGGCGAACTGTGCACACAGATTGTCCATGACGACGACAGGAAAGGTGTTGGGCAAGGCCAAAATGCACACAAACAGAGCACAAGCAAACTGGTGAAGTCAATCGAACAAGACAGGCATACTGCGTCATGGTGTGTGGGAAGAGAGCATGCGGGGCTTTGGTGGACCTTGTCTATCCGTCTAAGTACCCCCCCCCCTACACACGCGCACACACACACACACACACACACACACACACACGCATGCATGTACACGCATGGGGATGCACTCGCCCACACTTACCGCTTCTCCGCGGAAGCCATCGTCTTGGATCTGCAGACCACCAGAGTTTGGCTGTACTGGACGAGGGCGTCTTGGTTGCCCAGATGATCTATGTACAGCGGCAAGTGATGCAGACACGCATGCACATTAATTAAGGCAGCATGGTGTCAGAGGGTTACAGCGCATATTTCAAGACTGTACCAATCTGCATGACACACTGCGATTATATTATAATGTAGCGTGCATGCCGACAGGTTCTGTGAGATAGGTAAGCCTTTGTCTGCAACTATAGTGTAGTAGTGCGCAACTGTCTGCGTTCACATTCTCCATGCAGTGTGCAATATAGCGGCATGTTCAAGGATATGATGGCCTAGCAGATGAATACCAGCAGCACACACCGTGCTCATAGCAGTTTGCTTCGCAATTTGATCAGTGTGGGACATTTTATTTCCAAAAGGCTGCCTCTGGCTTACAGTACAGACTTTATAAAAGAAAGATAGCGAGGGTGGAGAAAGAGTGAGTGAGAGAGAGAGAGAGAGAGAGAGAGAGAGAGAGCATGGGTATGAGCACGAGCAAGAGAAGGCCGGAAAGACAGACAGGCCGAAGGAGAGAGAACAGAAGAGAGTTAAACCTTACCGGGATGTCATGAGGACATACGCTGCCACTAGCACAACGATCAGCAAGAGGACACCTCCCATGACTCCGATCAAGATGTAATATAGCTGGCCTGCAAGTCAACAAGAAAAGCGCATGGATCAGGAACTACTGCGTCACTGGCCGTAATTCTGTGTAGTAGTATTCTGCATTCAATAATGGAACAGGTAATCCGGTGACAGCCCAGCACTCGAAGCATTCGGACCGTCAAGCACTGGGGGCTAGTCAGTGGACACTGCGGTCAGGGAAGATACCTGACCGCACTCTGGTGTAGAGTGTTGTTCTCACTGCTCTGCGCCGCGCCGCCGCACAGTACACACACTGTGCACATCTGTCAGTGCTCCGCCTAGGACAGTCGTCCCTCAGTGTCTGGTCACAAGGCACACACGTGACTTACTGTCGCTGGTTGTGGTACTCTGCTGTTCTGCACCGGGGCCTGTGCCAAGACCACCGCCTCCAGCCGCTGTGGTTGTCTCACCAGTGTACTGCTGGCATCGCGATCCCGTGGCGTCAGCGGGGCAGCTGCAGAGAATTTAGAGACACACGCACGCGTGCGCGCGCGCACACACACACACACACACACACACACTTTAGTGTTACAGCACCATCTAAGCAACTGGTTAGCTGCCGCAGTTTCACGACTTTCCAGATTTGCTATCAATAGTGCCATAGTTGTACAGACTTGCTAATCTGATGGTCATACGCAATCCACTTCAACTTCGGATGGTCATGCCCAATCCACTTCAACTTCGGATGGTCATGCCCAATCCACTTCAACTTCGGATGGTCATACGCAATGCACTTCAACTTCGGATGGTCATGCCCAATCCACTTCAACTTCAGATGGTCATGCCCAATCCACTTTAACTTCGGATGGTCATGCCCAATCCACTTCAACTTCGGATGGTCATACGCAATGCACCTTCAACTTACTTGCACATAATCGATTGGTCCAAGCCATTGTCCACACACGTACCGCCGTGGAAGCAGTAGCCAACAAAGCAACGGCTTGCTGTCATGACCAATTGACGGGAGCAAGAGCAAAACAAGAAATGTACACCGTGTTAGGCATTGTCAGCAGGTTGGGCTATTTTTGGAATATCCCCGTAACGTCAATCCTTGTGACTGTATTCTTGACACACTGGCACAGGACAGACTCACACACGTACACACACATACACACACATACACACACATACACATGCCTGCACGCATGCACCCCCCCCCCCCACACACACACATGCAGCATGCATGCATGCATGCACACATGTTTGCACATACACACGCGTGCACGCGGGGGCACCCACCCACACGCGCACACCCACACACAATTTAGTGACAACAGACGTGTCACATTCCCATTGTGCTGCGTGCAAGAAGTCCGGAGGAAGAATTTCTTGCATTTCAAGAAGTTTGCCGTGTGAGCAGTTGCACTATTTGTGAATCTCTCTTACGTGCTGGAGTAATAGGAACAAGCTTGGTGGATCCATCCGAGAGAGTGATGATGTTAAACTTCTCCGAGGTGATCGCATCGGTTGGAGCTGTTGTGGGCACCGTGAAAATCTTGGGTGAGGTGGGGCAGTCCGCCTCGTCAGAGTGATCCACACAGTCAAAGAACTTTCCGTCGCACTTGGCACTGGCTGCTATGCACTCTGTGCCGTCATAGCACATGATCTGGTTGGGTTGACAGCCTTGCACGTATGCTACAAACACAGACAGACAGACAGACAGCCACCCGTACACGCACACACACGCGCGCACACACACACACACACACACACACACACACACACACACACACACACACACACATACACTGATTGACTTCAATGCGATCTAGATACCAGTGTTCTGTGCCACAGGGTGACTTGTAGTAGGCTGCATGCGACGACTGTACATAACTGTACATGATAGTACTCATGTCCCAGCTAGCCAGGTGATGGTCTGTGCGCTAGTTAGGCATTTCTGCATGCCACCACTGTACATGTACTCACTCTTGCAGATACCGTCCGATCCACTCCATTGCCTGTTGATCTGGCAGACGCGGACGGAGGAGCCCTGCAGCGTGTACGGCGCCTTGCAGGAGACGATGACGTTGGCGCTGTACCCGCGGCTAGTGCCCTGAAGTTTACCATTGGCCGGTGCGACGAGAGGTGCGCAAGCAGCTGCAAGAAACACACCAGCACCACGCGATCAAGGAAAGGTATGCACTTTAGTGTCAGTAGGTGTATGTGTACGTGTATGTGTGTGTGTGTGTGTGTGTGTGTGTGTGTGTGTGTGTGTGTGTGTGTGTGTGTGTGTGTGTGTGTGTATGTGTATGTATATGTGTGTGTGTGTGTATATTGCCATGCCTAGAGGCTTGCCTTATCTTGATAAAGATCTGGTGTGGGTCGCAATGACTAAGACTAGAGAATCTACATTTTTGGATAGGCAAGTTGTGTGTGCGCATGCACACCCACACACACACATGCACATGCACACACACACATACCATACCACACACACACACACACACACACACACACACACACACACACACGCACACACACACGCACACACACACCAGTCGTGCATGTACTGTGTGACTACGCTGCGGTGGCGTGCACGCATACTTACATCCGGTGCCGGCTGACGGGCAAGTAGCTTCATCTGAGCCGTCGGTACAGTCCGCGACACCGTCACAGATCTGCGACGGCAGGACACAGCCAGCCTGGTTGAGGCATTTCACTGTGGTCGTGGCCGTGCAAGTTGTAGGATCTACAACAGTAAGAGAGCAGCAGTGTGTAGTTAGATGGTGGCAAGTGCTGGTGCCGGGTACAGCGTCTGATGTGCTGTAATCTTGTCGGTGAGCAAGAGACCGAGCAAGCCCAGTCGAGCACTACAGTATGCCATGGAAATGAACTTACGTGTACACACGTGTAATAGTGCACATGTAGTAGTGCACATGTAGTAGTGCACATGTAGTAGTGCTGCAGTGCACGTGTCACTGTGCATACTGTACAATCATGTACACTCAAACGCCTCTTATCCGGACGCCTCAGATACGGGCACGTCTCTCTACCGGGCACCTTCAGCTTGAGGGCCTATAGCACAAATGCTTCGAATTTGGGGTTTTTGAACTTTTTTTCGTGTGTGGAAGTGCTTATGTTTCACTGCCAACCTATGTAATCCACACATTTTTATCAATGGGTTCCTTTTGTATCCTCAACATGTGCAATACGTGCAAATAAACTTCTTCAAAAAACGATATGATACATGGTAGATGAGTTATCCTGAGATACGGGCAAATCTGAGATACGGGCAGTGCCCGGTCCCAAGGTGCCCGGATAAGAGACGTCCGAGTGTACTACACTACTGCTCAATGAAATCCAGTCGAGTTTCTCAAGTACACGCTGGGTGCCGGGCCCCTAAATTTAACAAATGCACTACTGGAAACCCTATGTCTGTACATGTCCATGTATCAGCTCATCGGATTGGGCTAAACTGGAACCCCCCTGCAGAGAACTCTGGATCTGCCCCTGCAATGCATTCATTGCCGGTGAGCCCGTTTGTCATGACCCTTACGGATGCACTTTGGAGGACCCTGGTCCCAGACGCCGCTGCGACACTGGATGGTGAGCGGACCCTGCAGCTGGTATGGTGTAGTGCAGCCAAAGACGAGGATTGCTCCGGAGCTTGTCGATGCACCCTGAATGTAGCCGTGGACTGGAGCGGTGATCTTGGGGCAACCTGCAGCGTAACACAGCCGAAGGAAAGGACAGGAGAGAAACAATTCATTCTGGTCACTTACTACGTGCATGGAGCACATTGCGGACTTACTACGTGCATGGAGCACATTGCAGAGTTTAAGTTTGAACGCCTGTCTCAAGTACAAGTACGTGAATGAATGAATTCTCACCCGCCATTAGGTTACATGCATGCTAGTGCATGGCAGCAGCAGCAGCAGCACTATACACGTATGACTCATCAAGTCAGTGGAGTGTTCAAGTGTGTGTACTAGGCTCTGCACCTTGGCGTATTGAGCACTGTCACGAGCGACCGCGACTCTCTCTCTCTCTCTCTCTCTCTCTGTGTGAATGTGACTCATCGAGTCATAATGAGAAACTACATGTAACATATCATACACGAATAAACCCATGGCCTGGTGCTGCACATACTACCTACCCTTGGCAGTGATGTTGCAGTGAAGCTCGTCGGATCCGTCCGTGCAGTCGTTAATGTTGTCGCACTGGTCTGCCGCCTTGTAGCACGCCTGTGTGGTCAGACACGCCAGGTAGCCGGACGCACACTGCGGACTGTTCACTGCACACGTGTACAGGCACACAGAGCAAGCACATGCACAGACACACAAAGCAAAAAACACGCACAGACACGCAAAGGGCTCGTCAAGGCAATGTGCACCGCGCCAGCCTACCTATTTAAAACCACAGTCGTCGTCCTGAGAACACCATGTTGTGCAAGTTTTGCGTAGCTAAAGTATGTTAACGCGGTGACGTAATGTTTTCACTGTATGCTGATGTCTATCACGCGCGTGTTCGCGGCAGCTCACGGATGCGCCGTTGTGCGCATGCGCAAACTCTCCCAGCAGCTCGCTTTGCATACGTACACCCTTCAGCAGCCTTCGTGCCTGGCTCTCTTTGTTAGTTGCATTGGCTCGCATGACTCTTGCTCCGTGTTTTCAAACTCCGGAGTTCTTCAGTTCTGTTCAGACTTCCTTGTACAAGGTGACATCGTCGTTTCGGTCTCTTGTTGCCTAGTTGTGGTGTCCAGTCCCTGGGCGGGCTGGAATTCTGAGTGCTGTATCCGCGGAGTGGTTTACTCAAATTTTCTCAAATTTTCCCACGCTGAGGCAAGAGATGTCGCGCAGGTCCGCCAGGTCATCTTCTAGCCCCTACGCTAGAGCAACATCCTCCCCTGCTCCTGGAACCACCCAGGCCAGAGCCCCGGCCCAGAACCTCGCGCCGCCTCGTGCTCCTCGTGCTTCGGCTCTACCTGGCCAAGTGCCTCCGTCTCAGTCAATGCCGGCCGGCCACCCACCCCAGCCCACGCTGGCGAGCCAGATCTCCGCCGCCGTGGCTGTTGCTATTCAGCCTCTGGCCGACAAGGTTACCCTGCTGGAGCAGGCTGGCGCAGCCCAACTCGCCGGCCCAGGAACTGGCGTAAACTCGGGACTCGCTCATGTTCCGACGTTCAGCGGGGCCTCGCTTTGTGCTGCCGGATCAATCGCCACTGCAGCGCCGGTTTTACCAGTATCAGTACCGGCTGCCAGCCACCCGACACAACAGTGGCCGTCATCTGGAGACCTCCCCGTGGTGCCGCCTCGCCTTCGAGACCGGATTGTGCGAGGTGAGTTCACAGAATTAAGCGATTTGCTGCCTGAATCCCTGGGCTTCGAGGGGGATCATGATGTGATGCAACTCGACGTGGGCGCGGGCCGATCTGTGCAGCTCGTCCCCAAATCTTCCCACCGGCAACCCGCCAAACGACACATCTATGATCTTGCCACATGGGTGGAAGCGTTCACCACATACTCGAGGGTGCTGGCCGACGCCTCACCACAGCTGGCAGGTGATCTCTGGGCGTATCAGGCCATCATTGTCGATGCCAACGTCAGGTTCCACAATGATGCCTGGCTGTCCTACGACCGCAAATTCCGTATGGCCACGGCGTCCCTCCCTCACCGCTATTCCTGGTCCGTCATTGACCCGAACCTGTGGCAGTCTTGTCTCACGGGCCGTGGGCGGCCTCCGTGCCAGCGTTGCTCCATGGTCCATCCAAGTCAGCCCAGCAGCTGCCCCTTTCGTGGGGGGCTCCCAGCCCCAACAGCGCCTACGGGGAGCCAGTTCTCGCACCAGCCTGGCTTTGACGGCAAAGCCATCTGTCGTAATTTCAACTTCGGCAGCTGCTTGCTCTCCCCCTGCTCCAGAGCACACGTCTGCATCCAGTGCCGCGGCCGTCACCCCGCACGCCAATGCTCCAAGTCTGGTGACTCGACCAAGAAATAACTCTCACCCCAGTGGTGACGCTGCTTTATAGGTGCCCACTAGCACGCCTGTTCATGTTCAGCGCTTTATCAATCTTCCCTCTCCTCATCCAAATGCAGTATTTCGCTCTTATGGTTCACAAGGCATGCAGTATGGCTTTCGTATTGGCAGCTTTCGCCCCATTGCATCTTCTGTTATGTCTCCTAATCACTCTTCGGCTTGTGCTTGCCCTGCTGAGGTTACTACTCATCTGCTTAACTGTTGTGACCGCGGAGAAACTGCGGGCCCATTTGCATCTCCGCCATTCCCTCACATGCATATTTCTGGTTTGGGTGCTATCCCGAAGTCTGATGGCAAACTGCGTATCATCCACGACCTCTCGCCCCCTGCCGGCTCGAGTGTGAATGACGGTATATCTCGGGATGAATTCAGCCTGCAGTACGAAACTGTCGATACAGCTATCTCTCTGATCATGCAGGCAGGGTGTGGCGCTCTTTTGACGAAGGTCGACAGGAATGCATTCCGTCTCTGTCCTGTTGCCCCCTGTGACTGGCCTCTTCTGGGCATCTTCTGGCAGGGACAATTCTATCATGACAAAGTGCTACCATTTGGATTGCGTTCTGCACCATACATATTCGATAAATTCGCCACAGCAGTCCAGTTTATTCTCGAGGATGCATGCCACCTAAGCCAATTACTCCCCTACCTGGACGACTTTCTGAACGTTAGTCCGCCCCACCTGCCCGTTGCGGAACATCATCGCTCACATATCTTAGACATGCTCCGCTATTTGCAGATACCGGTGGCCTCTGAGAAAGTCGAAGGCCCATCCACATGTCTCACCTTCCTCGGCCTGGAGCTGGATTCGCTGACGTTTGAGATCCGGTTACCGTCCGCCAAACATGGGGCGTATCTCGGCAAAGTCAACGGCCTCCTTCAATCAGGCATGGCGTCCCGGCGCGAACTCGCCTCCGTGTTGGGCAATCTCTCGTTCGCGGCCCGGGCTATTCCTGTCGGTCGTACCTTCCTGAGGCGCCTGTACGACCTTGACCGTGCAACAAGCAACCTTCCAAAGCACAAGGTTCTCTCTGGCAATAGCACCGTCATCCAGGAGGACATACTCAGCTTCAGAGCGGCGGTACCTGGATTTCTGTCAGCAGCATGGCGTTGTGGCCCTGCCTGGAAGCGACGTTCCACTGTGCTACTACGCAGCCCTCCTCATGCGCACACTGCGGCCGGCCTCGGTTCGCACATATATGTCAGCCATCTGGAACTTACACGTCGAAATGGGCCTCGAGTACCCGAATCAGCCGACGTCCCTGCTGTCACGAGTGTTAAGAGGCATAGCCCGTTCGTCGGGACCTGGCCGCCCTCGTTTGCCTATCACAACACCCATCCTCCGGCAACTCTGCCAACGCCTCCAAGTTTCCTCCATGCGGCACTCAGTTGACCAGGCAATGCTGCAGTGCGCCTTCACCCTGGCCTTTTATGGCTTCCTGCGCTGTGGTGTGAGCTCACCTCGTTGACGTTTGGCAACGTGGCCCTGGACCAACAATCATTTCGTATCACCATCACGCTGCTGCAATCAAAGACGGACCCGGACGGTAGGGGCACGGTAGTCCACGTGGGCGGCTGTACCGATGTCATCAGCTGCCCTGTTACGGCGATGGTGCGGTACCTGACGGCAGTGTCGGCAGAGTCCCAATCTCCTAGAGATCAGCTGCTCGTCTACCACAATGGCCAGCCTCTGACACGAGCGGACGTCACGAGGGAGGTGCGGACCCTCCTACCGCTTTGTGGGATTACAGATCCGTCCAGCTATGCCAGCCACTCATTCCGGATCGGAGCAGCCACGTCTGCAGCTATCGCAGGCGTACCAGAGCACGTGATCCGCCATATGGGGCGATGGCGCAGCGACGCCGTGCTGCGCTATATCCGTGTTGAGCCATCCGAGGTGCGGCTAGTATCAGAGAAGCTAGCCACAGTGAGTGACTGACCAGTAGCGCTGCACCTTGACGAATGTCTCCTCCGGTATACATACCAACTCTCAGTACCGCTATCGGTACCTAGATTTCTTGACTGCTAGCAGCTCCTGCTATACTCCTCGTTCAATGCTCGCGTTATTTCTGAGCACTGACTTATTTGGTTGGCCCACCAGGGTAACTAGCTTGGGCACTGAACTCTCAGTAGCTGGCAGCATTCTCTCTACTCTCCCGAATCACTCTATTCGGTTACTGCCCTTGGCAGGTCAGCCGCCATTTCGGTCTCACTCCGAATCACTCTATTCGGTTACTGCCCTTGGTAGGTCAGCCGCCATTTCGGTCTCACTCTCGGTCCCCGCCTCTGTCGGGTCGGCCGCCTCCATGGTTACACACTGCCAGCTCCTTCGCCCAGTTACCCTGTGGTGCCAACCAACTACTGCTGTGTCTGTGTGTGGGTCGTGTATGCCTCCGCGTACGGAGCATGCGTTAATGCAAGTTTTGCGTAGCTAAAGTATGTTAACGCGGTGACGTAATGTTTTCACTGTATGCTGATGTCTATCACGCGCGTGTTCGCGGCAGCTCACGGATGCGCCGTTGTGCGCATGCGCAAACTCTCCCAGCAGCTCGCTTTGCATACGTACACCCTTCAGCAGCCTTCGTGCCTGGCTCTCTTTGTTAGTTGCATTGGCTCGCATGACTCTTGCTCCGTGTTTTCACCCACCCACCCACACCGACTTCATTGTGTTACAATTCTTATTCTGTAGCACCCCGCTTATACTACTAACCTCATTCGTCTTCCAAACTCACTCTGCTAAACAAAAACAAGCAGGGATTGGGCACTGAACTCTCAGTAGCTGGCAGCATTCTCTCTACTCTCCCGAATCACTCTATTCGGTTACTGCCCTTGGCAGGTCAGCCGCCATTTCGGTCTCACTCCGAATCACTCTATTCGGTTACTGCCCTTGGTAGGTCAGCCGCCATTTCGGTCTCACTCTCGGTCCCCGCCTCTGTCGGGTCGGCCGCCTCCATGGTTACACACTGCCAGCTCCTTCGCCCAGTTACCCTGTGGTGCCAACCAACTACTGCTGTGTCTGTGTGTGGGTCGTGTATGCCTCCGCGTACGGAGCATGCGTTAACACCATTCTTTGTCTTCAAGTGCTCCACCGTTGTCACCAATCCACTACACTAGCTTGTGCTGCTCAAGATTTAAAGGAGTACAGTCAACTTCGCTTATAACGACACTCGGCGGGGCATCAGAAAAGTGTCCTTATTCGCGAAGTGTCGTTATAGCCGAAGTCTCATTATGTTTGTCACTGTTGGATGGGACTTTGCTCTGGGTATGAAAATTATGTCGTTATTCGCGAATTGTCGTTATATCCGCTGTCGTTATTTGCCAAGTTGACTGTATCTTGGAATTAAGACAGAGCAGTGTGAGTGTGCACGTGCGTGCGTGTGTGTGTGTGTGTGTGGGCACGTGCGTGTGTGTGCGCGCGCGTGTGTAGACATGTGAAGCATTGTACACAAACCAAAATCAACGTGTCCCTGAGTTCACTACTCTGCCAGTGAGCCCACACAGTGAAACAACACAATGGCCCAGTGCACATGCGCCGCACACAGCATTGCGATATGGTCACTCACGTGTGCAGAATGCTGGGAATCCGCTCCAGGTGCCATCGTCTTGGCAACGGCGAACACTGGATCCCTGAAGTACGTACGGCGCATTGCAGCCAAAGGCAACATAGCCAAACTTGTCAGTAGCATTTCCCTGGATGTAGCCATTCGGTGGTGAACTGAGTGGACTGCAGAGCTGGCCTGTTCAGCGTAGTAGATACACAAAATACCAGAGAGTCAGATAACTGTAATAGCATGAGGATGTGTGTGTGTGTGTGTGTGTGTTTGAGAGAGAGAGAGAGAGAGAGAGAGAGAGAGAGAGAGAGAGAGAGAGAGAGAGAGAGAGAGAGAGAGAGAGAGAGAGAGAGAGTAAAATAGAGCAATGTTTTAATGCCAAGTTTCCCAATCCCTGTCTGATAGCAACACGTTGTTCCTCACCTGGAGCGGGCGTGGTGATGTTTGCGGCCGTACATCCAATCTCATCGCTGGCGTCCGGACAGTCTGGGTAGTTGTTGCAGACCTTGGTCTTGTCAATGCACGTAGCTCCGTCGGCACAGCGCTTCTCGTAGTACAGGCACTGCTTGAACGGCACTGAACACACGCATGGCGGTGGCATAAAGTACAACATGGATAATACTGATGAGATGCACTTTGTCATGTCTCTAGCATGCAGCACTACGAACAGGTGATAATGACCAACAGCATGTACTATATACTCGTAGCCATCTGTTAGCCATTTTCTTAGGACCTTTAGCGCTTCCCCCCCCCCCCCCTCCCTCCCCTCCCTCCAGGACTATATGTAGAGTGAGACCTGTCTGAAGCAACCTTTCAAGGGTCCTTACAAATGTGGTCCCCGTGTACAGGTGGTCTCCTTATCCAGGGTCAATTGACTGGAAATGGCATCCTTTGTTTCTGGTCGTAGCGGTCTTCTTGGACAGGTGGTCACCTTATCAGAGTGGTTCCCTTGACAGGTTTTTACTGTATTCTAGACAGGAACAACACAGTTGGTGTATAGCTGGGGTGTGTGTGTGTGGGAGATCTTCTTCCAATGTACTTACACGAGCACTGTCCAACTTGTCCGTCCCAGGTGCCGTTGAGTCCACAGGTGCGGCGCACAACGCCCTGATACACGTACGGGTCGTAGCACTGGTAGATGATTGTGGCACCGATGCTGGTGCTGTTCTTGGCGATGTAGCCGTTCTTGGGTGCGTCGAGTCCGGGGCATCCAGCTGTGCAGTGCATATAACATGCACAAACGCATACACACAAACACACACACACACACGCGCGCGCGCACACGCACACGCACACACCGTGATTGTTTGCAACACAGTTTCTGGGCAGAGTGCTAGGTTGTTTTGGAGAAACCAAGCTAGCCCATTAATTTAACCGATGGCTGCAGTCACTGGTACTTCAATGAGAGGATCTACGTTGAATTGAGTACTGTAGTTACGCAGAAGACAAACCCCTACCATCCACCGTGCTGTGTGTATTGTAAGTGCTTTGCTATGTGTGCTGAGATGATTATTTCATGGGCTATGTGTGTGTGTGTGTGTGTTTGTGTGTGTGTGTGTGTGTGTGTGTGTGTGTGTGTGTGTGTGTGTGTGTGCGTGCGTGTGTGTGTGTGTGTGTGTGTGTGTGTGTGTGTGTGTGTGTGTGTGTGTGATCACATGGTCACAGCAGTCTGTCTGTACATACCGGCTGTGGTTCCATTTCCGCAGTAGATCTCATCGGATTGGTCAGGGCAGTTGAAGATACCGTCGCACTCCGCTGATCGCGGATAGCAGGTAGAACTCTGCAAGCAGCGCACCTCGCCCAGCGAGCACTGTGGAATCGACTCTGCACACGTAGTAACCATGGATACAAAGACAGGTGAGAACAGGTGAGTGTTAACAGTGTGCATGTCCAATGGCACACTCATCATCTTAATTACAACTTTTTACTTTGTATAATCGTCACACGTACATGCGCGCAGTAGCACACGGAAATCACAATGCAGCTTCCTTCGGCAGCTAATTACGCCAGCACCCATGCTCATGCATACATGAACACACACACACACACACACACACACACACACACACACACACACACGCGCGCACACACACACACGCGCACACACACACACACACACACACACACACACGCACACGCACACGTGTACACACACACACACACACGCACGCACGCGCGTGCATGTGCCAACAGAGAAACACATCTTACGTGTGCAGATCGGTGTGACACCCTGCCAGACGCCGTTCGCCTGACACGTCAAGACGGAAGAGCCTTGGACAGAGTAGGGTGCGTAGCAGCCAAATACAACTGTGCTTTTAACTGTGAAGTTGACACTGGATGTCTGCATGTAGCCGTTGAGTGGCTTGTACAGTGACACACAGCGTGTCGCTGTAGAAGACATCAGAAAAGAAATAGACACAGTTATTGGTCATTGATCGCAATAGGGAAGGACGCGCACAGGCAAACGTCAAGCAGGTGCTAGCAATGGAAACCCGCAATCATTCATCGTATTCACCTTGTTGCATCACATGACCAGGAATGCCCCCCCCCCCCCCCCCCCCCAGGAATGTCTACCTCCTCAGGGGCGTAGGAGGGATTGTGGAAGTGGTACGACCGAAGGTGGGCGCGGCGGAAGGCCGTTTTGGAGGGGGGTCCAGGGGACCTCTCCCGGGAATTTTTTTGTAAAAAAGATACAAAATCCTGCGTTCTGGGACTCGACTGTGCAGTCCAGTCGAGTACAGTACGAGTACGACTGCAGATGCATGGCTGATCTACGAGTACAAGTCTAGAAAAAGGTCAAAGTCTGATGGGCATATACATCGATAGATCCTGATTTTTTTATTACGGTTTTGCACGTTCCGGACGGACCACACTTTTCGAAAAGTGGTACGACCATGGTCGTACCAGTCGTAGCGGGTGCTACGCCCCTGCTCCTGTAAGCACTTATCCAGCGGAATGCTTTGAAGAGGAACAGAATGAAAACTGTATGATCTATCGGGCAGACCGGAAAGACATGTATGATCTGTCGGGCAGACCGGAAAGACATGGCACAGCTCTTACCCATAAACAGTGTGAGGTCAAACTTGTCCTGGAAGAAGCCCATTCTGTAGAAGAATTGCCGAGTTGGGTTGGAGTCCCAGCGCACGCCAACGGAGCCGAACCGAAGTGCTGTTGACACAGTGCCCACACCACCAACTCCGCCATCTTGGTTGCCATAGATCCAGTCCCTGCCGCGGACCACTCTCACGCCCGAGGTGAACAGAGACTCAACCTCGTCGTCGGTCAGGAGCGAGAAGTCGATACCGACTGAGCCGTTCGCATGAGCTGTTAGCACACGGTGTGATAGCAGGAGACAATCACTTTCAGAGCACAGCATTACACACACGCACACACACACACACACACACACACGCGCGCGCGCGCGCACACTGTGTGGAGGGATGTCGTGTCGCTCTGCACTTATGATATAGCAGACAGCGGTAGTACTGTGAAGAGTGCAGCTGTCTTGTGCTCATCATGTATGTATCGTAATGGGTATCAATAATCTTCTAAAACATTTGAATTCTCGAAGTCCAGAAGCTATGCATTCAAGGTCACTGCATTCCGACAATGCGGGCTCTTAAGGATTTCTATTCACCGCTGAAAAGACTGCAGGAGAGTGCACGGGCCAGTGTCTTTACTTACGGGCGCACGTCGGCTCGACACTGGTCCAGGATCCATCACCCAGGCAGAGAGTGTGAGGAGCGCCTTGCAGCAAATAGCCGGGCCTGCAGCCGAACGTGGCCAGCGAGCCGAACTGTCTGTAGTCTGAGCCGACACTCTTGTAGCCGTGGGCAGGTATAGTCAGTGCGCGGCAGTGAGTGGTCGGTAGATCTGCATGTGAGCAGTAGAACAGTCATACAGACATATTAGTTACACGGACATCAAGCTCAGCAGCCACTTCGTAGTAGGAGTCGATTTGATAGCAGGAAGTAGCTTTGACGCAGTGATCAGCTGTGTACCAGTATATTAGTACAGGAGCTGGGATGTGTGCACAGGCATCGTAACATCACCACCTACTAGACAAAAAAAACACGGAATGACCAGCTGTCCTGCTGGCCATGTTTGGATGCACGAATTTATAATCTCTTTGTTTCTCGCCCCCCCCCCCCCCCCCCTCTCCCTCTCCCTCTCCCTCTCCCTCTCCCTCTCCCTCTCCCTCTCCCTCTCCCTCTCTCTCTCCCTCTCCCTCTCCCTCTCCCTCTCTCTCTCCCTCTCCCTCTCTCTCTCCCTCTCCCTCTCCCTCTCCCTCCCCCTCTCCCTCTCCCTCTCCCTCCCCCTCTCCCTCTCACTCACCTGACACCAGATAAAGATCATAAGAACCGCCAGCTCCCATGCGATACGTAAATGTTGCACCAGTGACGTCCCATTGGACGGTGACAAAGCCGCCGCTCAGTCCCGAGGTGATCGTTCCGGTTGAGAAGCCGTCCTGGAAACCGTATATCCAGTCCTTGCCACGCACCACGCGTGCACCGACAGGGAACTTGGCGGCAAGTACGGTGCCATTGTCACCAGTGTAGTCAGGGACTGCAGGGGAGAACAGATGCCAGCACAATGAGATAAGAGGTTGGGATATGATTAGTAATAGCATACACTGCCATTTTACATGTGTCCTATGCATGCTTTACGATTCTGATATGCACAGTTGCCTTGCGAGTGTGCTAACACTGATGAGTCACTGAGCTACGCCTTCACATGCACACAGACACACATACACACACGCACACACATGGGCACAGAGATACACACTTTCTCAAACACACAGACACACCGACAGACACGTACACACACACACACACACACACACACACACACATCGGCACACCGAGATACACACTTTCTCACGCCCGTGCCCGTGCACTACACTCACGTGTTCCAACGACTGGCTGAGAAGTGCACGCTGCCTCGTCAGAACCATCGCCACAGTCCCAGTAGAAGCCATCACATCGCTTGGCGCTTGCAATGCATTCTGTTCCCGATGCGCATGCGAACTGTGAGCTACTGCAGTTGACAGCAACTGTGGGCAAGAGAAAAGATCAGCAATCCAAGTATGTAGACGCGAGACCCTGTCAAAACCAGAATTACTACTAGTAATTGAGCAGTTTTAACTGGGCAGTAGGGTGGTCTGCTCAATCAATACACCGCAATGCCCTACCCATTAATGGGCATGCGTTGTTAGGGAAGATGTGGCTTGCACACACCTGTAGTCATTTCTTACTGATGATAAAGACAAGGAAGAACTGCAAAACAAGTGAGACGCGTAGAGTAGCTTGAAGCTCGCGAGGATGGCCTCGACTTCTCTGAACCGGTTCAACGTGACATGCATTGCTGCTGCTGCAGTGCATCCAGGGCTTCATGCTGTGCCAGTGGACACTCACCTGGTCCGCTTGGGCAACCTGCTTCGTCGGAGTTGTCCGGGCACTCGAATGGGATCTGGTTGCAGCGTGCTGTGCTGCTGACACACAGGCCACCGGCACACTGGTATTGCGTGCTGTTGCATCTCACTGGACAAAGCAAGAAGAAAGCCGTCAAACAAACACGATGACGCCAGGCAGCGGCAACAGTACAAGGTACCAACAAGGAACCCCTGGCTATTTCCACAACCATGCTTTTAGAGCTTGTGTTGTATTGGGGTATCAGTGTTGAATGGTGCGTTGGCTAAAAAGAGCCAAACTATGCAAAATTGCCTATGTTACTGCATGGTCTCGTGCCGTTTCAATGCTGACACCTCGATGCGACACAAGCCTTGAGAAGATCCCACAGCTATGGTGTGCAATGTGGAGCGGAGCAAAGCAGATTGATAGTCTAAAGTTACTATGCTTGAGGCTTAGCTGCAAGCGTAGACAACAAGCACCAGTGCCCTGCTTGGTACTTACACAGGCACATCGGTACTAGTCCATCCCAAACGCCTGGCGAGTAGCACGTTCGTGTGGATGGTCCCTGCAGAGTGTATCCGGCATTGCAAGTGTACGTCACTGCTGTACCGAACACCACCGCGCTCGAGCTGATCTGTCCGTACGCCGGCGCTGCCAGCACTGGACAGGTCTTGGCCGTGTACAGGATCAAGTCGTACTTCTTCGTTGGCGGTCCCATGCGGTATGCGTACGTCTGTCCGTTGGCATCCCACTTGACCATCAGCATGCCAGTGGTGAAGTTCAGAGCGGTCTCGACCGTTCCTGGACCGTTGCCGTCCTGCAGTCCCCAGCTCCAGTCGACGCCGCGGATGACACGAGTTCCGACGGTGAAGATGGCGGCCAGCTCAGCAGGAGAGTACTGGGAGAATGTGGGCAGGGAGTCTGTGAACAGTGTAGTAAGTAGATGTACATATGAACAGTGTGGTAAGTAGATGCACACATACAGTAGTACCACATAACAACATTAAGATACATGTTTCAGTAGGACTATGCTCAAGGTATTGCTCTCTGCCTTAGACCAGTGTAATGATGACATTGTAGTGTGAAGCGAACTCCATGACAAGGGCAGTTTTCAGGCCTCTGACTGCAATCTGTTGAATACCTGACAGAGGAATGCACGGCAGTGTAGTTTAAAAAAAATTCTTTGAGTGATTGTGTGAGCCCGCATATGTGTGATGTGCAAACGGATGCCAACAGGGCAGGACAAGCTAGTATCTACCCTGATCAGGTACATTCCATGTCAGGGCCACTGCTGCCCACTCTGGCATTGTTTCCAGCTCTCTCTCTCTCTCTCTCTCTCTCTCTCTCTCTCTCTCTCTCTCTCTCTCTCTCTCTCTCTCTCTCTCTCTCTCTCTCTCTCTCTCTCTCTCTCTGTCTCTCTCTTTCTCTCTCTCTCTCTTTCTCTCTTTCTCTCTTTCTCTCTTTCTCTCTCTCTCTCTCTCTCTCTCTCTCTCTCTCTCTCTCTCTCTCTCTCTCTCTCTCTCTCTCTCTCTCTCTCTCTCTCTCTCTCTCTCTCTCTCTCTCTCTCTCTCTCTCTCTCTCTCTCTCTCTCTCTCTCTCTCTCTCTCTCTCTGCAATGCACCAAAACATACACCCAGCTGCTACAGACACTTACTCAGGCAAATGGCTTGTGATCCAGTCCAGCTGCCGCTGGTCTGGCAAGTTCTCATTTCAGAACCTTGCAAGAAGTAGCCGGTGTTGCAGGAGAAGTTTGCCTTGGCACCAAACAGCGACGACGTTCCCGTCTTCAGGCCATTGGTTGGTGTGGCCAGGTCTTCACAGCCGGTGACTGCATAGACACAACGGCAGGAAGCATCAGCGGGAAATGGATTGAGCAAATCAGCCTTATTGCAAATACTTACACCAGTCCACAGCTTGAAGCATTTGATTGAAGACTTTCACCAGGTTTGCAGGTCTGCAGGGTTGTCATTCTGGTGTAGTGGCGGCAATGCCCTCCGTGTATATTTCATGTCAATGCCATCACCCAACTGATGACCTTGGTATACATTACTTAGTGTTAGCTGCATGAGTCCTTTCCTCACTAGTAGTGCATGCTGCGCACATGTACATGTACATGCTACTCGGCTGCACCAATGTGTGGACATGCACACGTGCACATGTACATGCTACTCGGCTGCACCAATGTGTGGACATGCACACGTGCACATGTACATGCTACACGGCTGCACGAATGTGTGGACATGCACACACATGTTGTGTGTTCACTTACTGATGGCCAGCCACAAGTCGTACAGACCGTTGTAGCCCATGCGATAGTTGCCAACGTAGCCATAATCCCAGGTCACCTTGACCCAGCCACCCGATGTCAGAGCTCCGGTGATTGTTCCCAGCTGATGCTTGTCCTGGTCTCCCCAGCTCCAGTCTTTGCCGCGGACAACACGTGTGCCCACTGCAAACAGCTTGCCTATGGAGACCGACGGGTAGGTCGAATAGTCGGGATGACCTGTTGGAAGAGGGGAGGATCGGGGGTCACACGACGCATTAGTGACGGCGTATGGAGAGTCCTTGTGTACACGTATGTCAAGCATCCCATGCTTTGCACAGTACACTGTTCAGCAGCGCTTTGCAAGGAGTTAGCTATGGAAGAACAGACAGTCTAGCTAAGAGTTTTGCCTCCACATCAGCATCAGTAGACTTCAATTTCAGCATAGCATAGCATAGCGCAGTCGTGACCAAGGGTGGGTAAACTGGTTGCTAGTTGTTACCTGGGAACCCTATCTTCACCCTGATAATGGGCTAGGCCCGAAATTTTGGTGAAATGCTCAGATATTCGCAGTAAAGAGACCGTTTTGGAGTTGGAGAAGTGAAGCGTTAATCATGTGTAAGTGGCCGTGTTGGAGTTTACGGACAGTGAGAAAAGTTCAACCCAGAAAGCAGCGTGAATATGAGTAGGAGATCAGCACTGGATGGAAGACCTTGCACTGCTGTCCTGTCCAGCTAGTACATGCACTGGATCGGGGCTCTGTATAGCTACACAACTACACGATGAGCTTACCCTGGCAGCATCCATCACTCAGTGAGATGTCATCAAGAGCCAGATCACCATCAAATGAATTACCAGACACACCAGTGAACTCCAGCTGTGAAGGGCAGAGAGCAGAGAGCAGAGAGCAGAGAGCAGAGAGCGGAGAGCAGAGGGCAGAGAGCAGAGAGCAGAGGGCAGAGAGCAGAGAGCAGAGAGCAGAGAGCAGAGATCACAGTGAAGCGCTTTAACAACTCGTTGACAAACTGATGCACACGAGGATCCACCGAACGTATTATAATACAGTGATGCTACCGGGAAGAGAGACTAGCTGCGCAAGTAGCATGGGACCATGCCATGCACTAGCACAGGGTAGCCTGTCTAAGGCAACCACTCAAGGGGCCAGTTACAAATGTGGTCTCCGTGTACAGGCGGTCTCCGTATCCAGGATCATTTGACTGGAGGTAGCATCCCTTGGTCCTGCTTGTAGTGGTCCTCTGGGACAGGTGGTCACCTTATGAGAGTGGTCGCCTTGACTGGTTTTCACTGTACCATGCTTACCTGGAAGGCCGGGCTGTGTGCTGGGACGGAGAAGCTGCCAAACTCCCACTTGTCAGCATTGTCACCTGCCTTGTAGAAGGCCAGGCGGCGATGGATGCTGGTGGCGTTGCGAGTGCGCACGGTGACGTTTAGAGAGCCAACCGATGCGCCGTGCATGTGGTAGTAGAAGTTGATGCGGCAATGGTTGGTTGGAGGAGAGGCATACCATGGTGAGAGCAGAGTGGCAAAGTCACCCTGGACACGTGGGAATGACGTCTCAATGTACACGTAGTAACCTGAGACAGACCAAAGAGAAGAAGAGAAGATGTCAACAAGAGCATTTGACTTTCCGCAAGCAAGAACAAAAATAACTTCACATGCATGCCATTGAGCGCCGGCAAACAATCTGTGCGCTGCCGGGTTGATTCTTGCTGATAATAATGTCATATGCCGTGTATTGACATGATACGATCGTTCTCATGAAACAGTTACATGATTGTACTAGTGCCTGGTGAAGTCCTGCCTCTGATTTATATATGTACTTGGGCAAACTGTCGCCACTGTGACCAGTAGCTGGCGGATTCTTGTCTGTGATTCAGACAGTACTAGGTCTGATTCATAACCCAATACAATACGGGCCAGCAGTGCCCACTGCCGATGATGCTTCCCAGTATCACTGTCCTACTGCGAGAATGTCATAGCTTTGGCTGAGGCATGGACCGACTGGCTACCCTAACTAAGCACCTGTTTGCTCAGCCAAGCAGGCATGCACGCGCGCTCACCTGCTCTTGTCATGAGCGTGTGGTCAACGTCGGGGCCGGTATTGAAGGATGAAGTGGGTCCCTGTTGACGCGTCCAGTCGAATGTGTCGGTGGTGGACTGCTGGAACCCATTCAAGTCCTGCTCAAAGTTCTTCAGCTTGGTGCAAGCTATGGAGAAAAAAAGGCAAAGCATACATGTAACAGCAACGCAGTGAGAACACCACAGCACTGTACAATGGCAATACAGGCTCTATATTCACATGGCAGTGTCTCCTATTGGAAACTGTTACCAAACGACTCCAGTTGTAGTAAGGAACACTATTTTGTTTAGCGCATCCTCCCTCGGGCCTGGTCACACAAGCACCCGACAGGTCCAGGGGCGTAGCTGGTCCCCCCCCCTTTTAGGGGGGTGCACGGCCGCATATGTGTAGGATGGCTGGTGCGTGTCATTCATGGTCATTATGTGCATGCTGAACCTATGTCGACATTTTTAGAGGGGTGCACGTGCCCCATGCGGGCTGCGCACCTGCAAAAGGTGCTTACATGTAGGAGGAATTATCGGAGCTTGTGTGTATTTCTGAATGGTCTGATGTAAACAGTTGTGTTGGGAGTTATACTGATCTTACCTTGTGTAGCTGGCCGCACTGGTGGCAGAGTGGTAGCTGGTACAGTTGGGGCGATGCCCGAGTACAGGTCTGTGCCAATTCACATACACATATGCCCACACACGTACATACACGCGTACATACACGTGTACATACACGCGTACATACACGCGTACATACACGCGTACATACACGCGTACATACACACGTACATGCAAACACACACACACACGATCATAGTCGTGCTCACCTTCCTTATGCAACCCCCTTGCCCAGGCAGGCACAGCCTCGTAGCCAAACATGTACACACTAATATAGGTGTACAGTAGAGCTAATCAAACCAATGTCAATTTCGCATCATGCTCTCGTACGCTCAACAAACAAAAGTCCGGAAACGCTTTTCTAGTTGATGTGGTGATGCTCTCTCGCTGAAGGTAGCCACTCTAGCTTATACAGTACTGCCAGATAGCTTTAGCATCACCCCTTGCAGAGCAGTTCTGAAAGGGAATTAAGAGGAGAATTGTCATTGAGTGTGCAAATTTGAACTCGGATGGTGAGCCAATATAGTTTTGATGAAGAGCTAGGTGTCAGGCCGCCGAATGTCTCAGTACTCCTTGTCAGTTTTGTGCCATTTTGTCGCACTCGTTGACTGTATAAGATCTGGTTACGTTGGTGGACAGTTTGTCATAACTCGTAACATGTTGTCATTGTCATTGAGATGTGGACTTACCTTGAATGCGATAGAGATCATACTTGCCGTTGCCCATTCTGTAAGAGAAGGAGTTGCCATTGTCCCACAGGACCTGTACGGTCTGCGTTCCGGCAGTGACGGTTCTGGTGACCGTACCCTCGCCTCCGGGACCGCCGTCCTGCGCGCCCCACGCCCAGTCGCGGCCGCGCACCACGCGGGTGCCGACCGGGAACAAGGCGGCCAGCTGAGCCCAGAATGGCGCAATGCTGCCGTAGTTGGGTAGACCTGCAGACGACAGTTATCATAAGTACATGTCCGTACACACGTGGACATCTACACAATAGTTGTAATGCATGCAGGCTATGAGTGGCGATGTTACCCCCCCCCCCCCCCCCCCCCCCAAAGACAAACTGCTGAAAAGTAGACCATCACACCAATGGTATCCTGCACTGCAAAGAAGAGAGAGAGAGAGAGAGAGAGAGAGAGAGAGATTGGAGGGGAAAGATGAAAGAGGCAACATTGTTTCTTACTTGAGCTGCAGCATCCAGCTCCTTGGAAGACATCATCGATGGCAATATCACCTGTGAAGCTTGATCCAGCAATGCCAACGAATTTGAGCTGTTAACAGAACACATCAGCCACAGAATCCACCTCATAAAGTTTGTTTGTTTGTTAGTATTTCAGTTTTTTTGGCATGCATACAGTTTCTGTGTTAGAAGCAGCCCAACCATACACAGTGAGTATCTCATAGGCAATTTACAGAATTCCACACACACAGCATGTAGCAGTAGGTCTTGTAAGGCACTTTATCATTATCCAAACCTGGTAATTGCCCGTGACGATCTTGGAGACATTGACGAACGCCTGCACCCAGTAGTTGCCCACTTCTCCGGTGCGGTTGAAGGTCAAGACGTCAGCCTTACCCGGCTGCACAACGTACACTAGCAGGCTGCCGGTGGTGGTTCCGTACATGTGGTACCAGAAGCTCATCTGGCAGTGCTTGGTCGGCGGTGCGGGGTAGAGGGGCGACTGGAGACGCGCCGTGTCGCCCTGGACACGTGGGAACGATGTCTCGATGTACGCGTAGTAACCTGGAAACGGGGGGAGAGAGAGAGAGAAAGAGAGAGAGAGAGAGAGAGAGAGAGAGAGTGGCAGTGAAAGGGAGAGAAGCGGTTTGCTTAGAAAGTGCTTAGCTACACCATAATCTTAGCAGAAAGTTCTGAGTGCGTATGCGCGTTTATTCAGAGGAACCGTCTAGATACAAGCAGGGGTTGGTTTCATGTGAAAGCGGAGAGCAGATGACTAGGAAATATATGCATACTTGCACATGATGCATTCGGTGTGTGTGTGAACTGTGAAGGTGCTCAGGCAAAGGCGCCATATTTTCCAAGTGCAAGTGCGCGAGTACTGGTGCGAGCTACCATGTACGGGCACGGGTCATACTATTCCTGGCAACGCTGCACTGACCTCTAGAGTTTCCGAATGTGTGATCAGTGGTCGGACCAGTCGAGAAGGAAGCTGTGCTGCCGCTGGCCCTGGACCAGTCAAAGTCATCACCCGCCATGTTGGTGTAGCCTTGCCATCCAATTTCGTAGGTCACCGGATTGCCGCAAACTGTATGCAAAGACAGATAGCAAGCAGACATGTTGAGGTGTAGTTGAGGAGAATGCCGTGGGTGACCGGCTATTTCGCATGCTTTAGATCATTCCCAGGCCTAACTACTTTCAAGCAGTACATCACAACCTACCCTACCCTGCTCATGAAATATCAGCAAAGATGGCATAGTCGCGCCAAGTTATTTAAAATTCTGTCCGTTGGAAGATTTGTTAAAGATTGTTTTAGTGGGCACGTGATTAGGACCGCTGAAAGCCATGGTGTGTGTGTGTGTGTGTGTGTGTGTGTGTGTATGTGTGTGTGTGTGTGAGAGAGAGAGAGAGAAAGAGAAAGAGAGAGAGAGAGAGAGAGAGAGAGAAAGAAAGAAAGAGAGAGAGAGAGAGAGAGAGAGAGAGAGAGAGAGAGAGAGAGACTTACCGGAAGGAGCCTGTGTTGTCGGAAGGATAATGACAATGGTGGTCTTGCCGACGTCTGCACACAACGGAACACAGCAGAGGAGCATTATCAACAGTCTTGTAAAGACACAGTACCCATTTGGCGGCACTGGCTATTGGCGTACTGGTTGAGTGGCACCTCTATCCCCCATGACACCACTGCACTGCGCCTCTCTACTTTCTCCTACGGTCCACTGTTCACGCATAGCCAATAGGACGTGTGGCACAGAACAATAGAGTGGTTTCACATCTTGGTCATGTGACTATGTACATGTAAATTTGTGCGGAAAGTGGCAATGTGGCCGACATGGCCGACATCACTTTGACCCATAGATGTGGGGGTTGACTGGAGTTGGGGCCAACATGGCTGCCCCATGGCATGTGGTCATGTGACATATGTGCAACCATTCCATAGCACCAGTGCCGTGATCATCAGAGGGGCAGCATCAGGTAACAGAAGTTGTTTTTTAACCTTTTTTTGTGTTTTACTTCGCAAAATCCAAACGGCAATTTCTTCCAAATAACAAGGTTGCGAAGAGGGAAGAAAATACTGACTCTGGTCTGCACAGTACACTCTGACTGAATGACCCTGGCTAGCCCTGGCTGGCCAGTCAACAATTCCCGCTGGGCTGTCTTCAACTCGAAGCCGCATCATCAACATTGACTCAGAGTGACCTACAGCACACCTGGCACAGCAATGATGTAATCATGACGTCATTAATGTGCGGTGAGCACTTACCAGCGACACGGCACAGGTCAAACTTGCCGGAGGAGCCCAGGCGGTAGGTGTTTGTGTTCTTGTTGGCAGTCCATTGGACGGAGACCAGTCCACCGAGAACGTGCGACACCGTCACTCCTGGTCCGCCGCCATCTTGGCTTCCGTAGCTCCAGTCCTTGCCGCGCACGACGGCCGTGTTGTTGCTGAACGCGTAGGCGACTTGCGCAGCCGACAGGGTAGTGTAGTCGGGGCAAACCAGACCAGCTGTACATGAGAATAGGTGTGCACAGAGACAGTAACTTACATTAATCGCACACAGACAGTACGTTGACTGCACTCTACCGCCGGACTCTGCTACTTCACTGCCACTGCTATCATTTCCATTGCCCAATTTCCACTGCAAGGAGTCAAATCACATCGATACACTCTCAAGATGTTGAGAGGTTTAATAATAGTAAGGTGCACAGAGCACCTGAGCACCACTCACACACAATTCTGCACCAAGACATTTGAGTGTAGTTTCCTTACGTGTAGTTGTTGCTGGTGGCCAGATGGTCGCAGGTCCATTGACAATATCTGCATTGGTACAAACACGGACACATTGTCATTTGGTCATCAACATAAGAAAGTCAAGTTTTTTTTCCCAATGCCAGATGCAATGGAAGAGGTGTCTATTGCAGCGTTGCATGTTTTCTGTAAACGTTCACATTGAGAAAACAGTGGATTGGCAGCTTGACCAGGTAGGAGGAATTGCACCACCCTTCTCCGCCATCTGTAGCAGCCTTATCACGGAGATAGCAACACCTGACAATTTACTCACCGTCAACTCTGCACAAGTCGAATGTGGTTCCGTCGATCCTGTATCTGTAGGTGGTGGTGTTGTCGCTGTCCCAGACAACGGATACCAGTGTGAAGAGTGATGTATAACCCACTGTGATAGTACCGGGTCTGCCCGCACCGCCGTCCTGGCTGCCCCACTGCCAGTTCTGTCCTCGCACGACGCGTGTGCCCGTCTTGAACAGAGCAACGAGCTGGGGCTTGCTGTAAAGCGAGTACCGTGGGCATTTAGCTGTGGACAGAGATTGGTACAGAGGAATGATTCACATGCTCACAAGCAGTGTTTAGACAGCACAGCAGCCAGTGCTAGCAAAGCAAGAATGTCCACCCAGGTCAGACGAAACGGTCTATCTACTCTACGTGCAAAGATTTAGTAATACCGTGTGTTGTGTATAGTGTTTGTCGCCGTATTGTCCCTCTCCGTATTGTCTCTCTCTCTCTCATCTATTATACGCATGCTCATTGTAACTAAATCAGTCTTGTCTTGTCCCGCAATGGACTCCTGCGTGGCTGCAGGCGAACATAACACCGTGGAGCACACAGTAACTGCTTACATGTGTCGTAGACCTTGTCAGGTGTTGTACCTCCGGAGACAAGACCACCGAGGTCTGGACAGAAACAGATGGGACACACACACACACACACACACGCACACATACACACACACACACACACACACACACACACACACACACACACACACACACACACAATTAGCATTCCACCCCTGCAGCCTCCTACCCTCACCACAGGTGTTGGGAAAGAGCAAGTCCATTACAGGATCGCCGGAAGCAGTTTTTGATTGATCCGACCATACCCAAGCCTTTCATACAGTTAGTGTATGATACAGTGGGTACACATAAACCTCCTCAGCTGTAAACATAAGTTAGTGGCACAACAAGTTAGTCCGGTGATGACCTGACCAACCGGACCGGTTCCGGTGGCGGGCCTGGATAAGAGTGATTACTCACATACACATGCACACTTAGAAGTGCTACTGCACACTGCTGGCTGTGAGTACAATGTGCTACCGCACACTGCTGGCTGTGAGTACAATGTGATTCACATACCTGCCAAGCTGTAGAGTTCGTACTTGCCACCGGAGCCCATGCTGTAGGTGTAGACGGAGCCATCACCCCACTGCACTCTCACGGTGCCACTGACACCCAGAGGCTGCACTACACTGCCGACTACACCGACGTCCTGCGTACCCCAAGACCAGTCCGCGCCGCGCACCACCAGTGTGCCGTTCTGTACACAAGACCACACCGACAAGAACGACATGTCTCCCGTCAGCTCTGCGTTCATCCATTGCAATTGCATGTGTACAGCATCTCACTTGTGATCGGCATTGGTACTGCCGGGGTGATGCTCTCAAGCTAGACTACATGAAGCTACATATTGGGTATGCATACGTGCACACTCTTTGCTCACACCGACCAAGATTAAACATATTGAAATCATATTGAAAAGAAATCATTCAGGTGATACTTTGTGTCCAAGTACATATACATGAGATGCCCAAACTGAGCCGTGATGTGCATTTCATTGTGCTTTCTACGTCAGAGACTGTACTCACTTTGAACTTTGCCTGCAAGATTGTTAGAGGAGTTGAGCTGTAAACTGGTAGATCTGCAGTGGTAGTGAATAGCATACAGTGCAAGAGAGAATACATCACCATGCTCACACTTCATGCTACTCGTCCGCAAAATTTGCTACCAGTGTGGGACATCTGATAGCACATCTAACCCACTAGCAACGCTTACATAATACATGCATACACATAGCCATGCAGTCTGCTGGAGCATTATTGCAGTGTAGTTGCAGTGTAGTTGCAGTGTAGTTGCTGCTGCCTGGCTAGGTGTGGCTTTGATCACTGTTAGGTCCATGTGACAAACAGCATTGTCTTTCTTGTAGATGGAAGATGCACCCATGGTGCATTACAAACTCAGCCACTTGACAACAATAAGAACACCAGTTATTTTTGTGTGTGTGTGTGTGTGTGTGTGTGTGTGTGTGTGTGAGTGTGTGTGTGTATGTGTGTGTGTCTGATAGCATGCTCTGTGCTGTGTGCTCTTCTTACTTGGCGTTTGGCTGCAGCACTGTCGCGAGAAGGAGATGTCATCAATGGCGATGTCGCCAGTGAAGCTTGATCCACAGGTAGCAAGCCATTGTACCTGTACACCACACACACAGCAGCAGCAGCAGCAGCAGCAGCAGCAGCAGCAGCAGCAGCAGCAGCAGCAGCAGCAGCAGCAGCAGCAGCAGCAGCAGCAGCAGCAGCAGCAGCAGCAGGATAGTGACGGGTGAGTCACAACACTTTCTTTGGTGCTAGATATCCTGTGAGCCGTTACTGGTCACAGTATTGTATGTAATCCACCAATGACGGCTGACAGTTATCAAACTAACAGTGACTGTTAAAGCAAAGCTTGAAGACACATGGTTTGTAGTTAGGCCATGTTGTCATGTGACACGAGCACGGAAAGAGCAATGGTGATGCTCTGTGCAGACTGCCGCATGTTGTCTCTTCATAAACAAAATCCACGCCATGCTGTGAGCCGGTACGTGGCAGCTTTGCCACGGTCTCTGCGCATTCTGACATCAAAAGTTGAAGTCGTCTCTCACCTGGAAGGCACCGGCAGACTTGGGGATAGCTAGGCTGTCCGACTTCCATGCATTACCCTGGTTGCCAGACTTGGTCCACGTGGCGACGGACTTTCCAGCGGACAGCACGGAGACCTGCAGTGAGCCGATGGTTGTACCGTACATGTGATACCACCACTGAACACTGCAGCTAGAGGCGCTACCGACGAACACTGGCGAGGTGAAATAGGCCTTGTCACCAGACTTGCGTGGGAATGACGTCTCGATGTACAAGTAGCGTCCTGCGTAGCACACACACACACACACACACACACACACACACACACGCGCGCGCACACACACACACACACATGCGCGCGCACACACACACACACACACACACACACACACACACACACACACATGCACACCCAAAGAAATGCAAAACATGTCCTCATTTGCACACCCGCTGTAAATGCTCTCTGTCCCTGTGAGAGGAGACAATTGCAGAGTTGAAACTCGCCTGGAGATCTCATCCTGGTGCATGACCGCCACTTTGCTGAGAAGTGAGAACTTCACACTACATGAGTCCGATAGACCAATTCTCATCACTATAGTACATGCCCAGCAGTGGCTTTGAACACAAATGTACCGCGGTATGATCTCTTACCCAGTGTGTTGCCCACAGTATGGTCGGAGGTTGGACCGGTTCCGAAAGATCCCGTCGATCCACTGGACCTGGTCCAGTTGAAGTCACCGCCTGGTCCCAGGATGTACGGTGAAATGCTGTTCTCAAAGTTGTTGGGTGTCAAGCAATCTGTATAGATGATAGAACACACACAGGCATTGTGAGTAAGTACACCACTGTACACAGGGAAAGGACCAAGACTGCTGTGCTCTAAGCTTGTGTTATCATATAGATGGTATTTTGCAGGCAAAGAGTTGCATACATGTACCTTCACAGAGAAGTAGGGATGCCAATCCAGTGTTGGATGGGCAGCATGCATGATCTTACCTGCTGGACAACACTGCGATGTGAAGCTGATATCATCAATGGCGATATCGCTGGTGAACGATGTGCCAATTGTTCCCTCGATCAAGATCTAAGCACGTAGACGCAATCAGAGAGAAGCAGAACACTTTTTGACAAAGCGGACTAGAAAAACAATGCTGTACAGTAAAACCTGTGACTAACGATCACCCCTTGGGGCCAGAGAAAGCGGTCTTTAGTGGCAGGTGGTCCTTGGTTAGAGGTTTGCACCGCCCAACCATGTATGAATGTGAGACTGTCCGTGCCTGGCGAAGTGGTCTGTAGTACCAGGCTGGTCGCTAGTCACGGTGGTCTTTAGTTACAGGTTTTACTGTAGTACCAGGCTGGTCGCTAGTCACGGTGGTCTTTAGTTACAGGTTTACTGTAGTACCAGGCTGGTCGCTAGTCACGGTGGTCTTTAGTTACAGGTTTTACTGTAGTAGCAGGCTGGTCGCTAGTCACGGTGGTCTTTAGTTACAGGTTTACTGTAGTAGCAGGCTGGTCGCTAGTCACGGTGGTCTTTAGTTACAGGTTTTACTGTAGTACCAGGCTGGTCGCTAGTCACGGTGGTCTTTAGTTACAGGTTTTACTGTAGTACCAGGCTGGTCGCTAGTCACGGTGGTCTTTAGTTACAGGTTTTACTGTAGTAGCAGGCTGGTCGCTAGTCACGGTGGTCTTTAGTTACAGGTTTACTGTAGTACCAGGCTGGTCGCTAGTCACGGTGGTCTTTAGTTACAGGTTTTACTGTAGTGCCAGGCTGGTCGCTAGTCACGGTGGTCTTTAGTTACAGGTTTTACTGTAGTGCCAGGCTGGTCGCTAGTCACGGTGGTCTTTAGTTACAGGTTTTACTGTAGTGCCAGGCTGGTCGCTAGTCACGGTGGTCTTTAGTTACAGGTTTTACTGTAGTGCCAGGCTGGTCGCTAGTCACGGTGGTCTTTAGTTACAGGTTTTACTGTAGTGCCAGGCTGGTCGCTAGTCACGGTGGTCTTTAGTTACAGGTTTTACTGTAGTGCCAGGCTGGTCGCTAGTCACGGTGGTCTTTAGTTACAGGTTTTACTGTAGTGCCAGGCTGGTCGCTAGTCACGGTGGTCTTTAGTTACAGGTTTTACTGTAGTGCCAGGCTGGTCGCTAGTCACGGTGGTCTTTAGTTACAGGTTTTACTGTAGTGCCAGGCTGGTCGCTAGTCACGGTGGTCTTTAGTTACAGGTTTTACTGTAGTGCCAGGCTGGTCGCTAGTCACGGTGGTCTTTAGTTACAGGTTTTACTGTAGTGCCAGGCTGGTCGCTAGTCACGGTGGTCTTTAGTTACAGGTTTTACTGTAGTGCCAGGCTGGTCGCTAGTCACGGTGGTCTTTAGTTACAGGTTTTACTGTAGTGCCAGGCTGGTCGCTAGTCACGGTGGTCTTTAGTTACAGGTTTTACTATACTTGTAGTAGCAGTATCTCCTCTTGGGAGAGAGAGACCAATGGCAGTGGTGCAGTTATCACTATGCCTGGTCTTGTGAGCGGCAAGGCATCATGCCAGTGGTGATGTCAGTGGTCTCTACTCCGGCGCAATTCGTTGTGGACTCATGGTGGCCGGCATAGAAATGAAATGCTGAACCTGATGGCGACGAAGAGTACACTCGCAAAGTTTAACTAGACTGAGTGTGTGTGTGTGTGTGTGTGTGTGTGTGTGTGTGCGTGCGTGCGTGCGTGTGTGTGTGTGTGTGTGTGTGTGCGTGCGTGTGCGTACTTTCTCCGGAAACAAAAACTTCATGACTTGTTTTATTCGCATTCTAAGGAGTTGCTGTGCTCAAAATATTTGGTTCAGCGGAGCAAAAACACTTCAAGACCATGATAGGGTATACTTCTTTGAAGTTTGTATACAAAGAAATTGCCACGTTTAAGTCTCACCTGGAGTCGCCATCGCTCGATCCTCAGAAATCAATTCACCAGAACTGAGGGGTTGATCAAAGTCATGATTTTTTTTATTTCCGGAGGAAGTACTCCCCCCCCCCCTCCCACACACACCCACTCACCCACCCTGACCCAGCATGTACTGGTGGTATGTGCCATACCGGTACGGTATGGCACGTTGCATACCTGGACATCTTTGCTGAAGGTCTGAATGGGAATGGCCACAACGCCCTTCTGCCACGCAGTGCCCTGGTTGCCGCTGACGGAGAAGGCCGAGTAGTTGCGGACGGTGTCGTGCCTGATGATGATGCTGAGCTCTCCCTGGGTTGCGCCGTACATGTGGTACCAGAACTGCATCTGGCAGCCGACCTCCAGCGGTGCTGAGAAGGCGGGTGACTGGAGATAGGCCTTATCGCCGACAGTGCGCGGCGAGGAGGCCTCTGTGTACATGTAGAATCCACCGGTGCTGGAGGGAACTACGAGAAATATGGAAACACACACACACACGTCAAATTGCCACACACAGTGTGATGTTAAGCACTTCATTCTTCTTTCTGCCCGTGAGCTTGATCTACACATGTAAGACAAACGTCCTTTGTATACAGTAGCAAGTCGTAATACCTGGGTAAACAGCATGGGACCATAGCACCTGAAGCAATGTACCGCGGCTTCGACCGCGGATTTGGAAGTTCTACACGTACGCCACTCTCCATTGCGGTCTTGACCTGCTCCCACCAAAAGAAACCCAGCGCTGCCATAGGCGAGTTGGCCCTGGCCGGGCTGAGGGTGATTGGAATGGGCAGTGTAGCCTTGGTGGGGGCAGTGCAGCCTTGGTGGGGGCAGTGCAGCCTTGGTGGAGACAGGATCCATCAGGAGTCCTTTTGCTAAACATGTGTTAGAGGTCATGGGTGGAGGGAATGGTAGCAGTGCACGTGACAATCTCATGCAGGTGCATACACTGTGTATCTCTATGGTTACCGAAGGTTACACCACTGCTACTGCTGCTACACTCACTTCCTGGCGTGTGGTCCTTGGGTGGTCCGGTACTGGAAGACGTGGTGCTGCCACGCTTTCTGGTCCAATCAAAATCATCCGATGTCGGTTGAGACCAAATGCCGAGGCCAGTCTCGAACGTCGATGGTCCGTTGCAACCTGGGCGGCAGACAAAGAGAGAACTCCAGGTAACGTACACAGACATGGCCGATATCACAGTGAAGTGCATCTGCCTCCTTCGGGCCGGTGTGTATTTTACTGCTCGTACATACATTGATCGTCATGCTGGATGAAATACATTGACCAGTAAAGCATTCGGAGTTCTGTTTGGAAACTTACTCGAGCAACAGCCGCCGGTGAAGGAGATGTCATCAATGGCAATGTCTCCAGTGAAGCTTGAACCAGCCACGGCACGGAATAGGATCTAGTGACAAGAACAGGTCAGCGAAAAGAGAATTCCGTCATTGGTGCCCAAAGGCAAAGTGGCAGTTTTTGACTCCCACCACAGACACCATCACACTAGGAAGAAGAGCAAGTTTCATTCAATCGATGTACATGTACAGCTGAATCCCCCACCAAGACATAGTGTGAACCAGTACGTTGCTCTGGTCGTGAATTATGTGAAACTCTGAGTCGTAAACCGGCTTCCGCTCTTTTTCTATCTCTCTATCTATCCATCTACATTGTATCTCTCTCCCTGCTGCGTCTCCCCCAAGACAGACAATGACATAATTGCTTGCGTCAAGTCAGTGTCCAGCACCACTGCACAGCCCAGTGTTTCACAGGCTTGGTGCTGCACAGCGCCCGGCGCGTACTCGACTCGTGCGATCGCATTTCATTGATCAGCAGCACTGTACGCTAAGCAGCTTGTTGTCTATAGCATACCTGATAGGCGGGTGTGCCGTACGGGACTGCCACTGTAGCCGCCTTCCATCCCTGTCCCTTATTACCAGCCATGGACCAGACGAGGGCATCAGTGCTGCCTGATGACGTACTTGAGCGAATCCAGACGCTGAGATTACCAATGGTAGCGCCGTACATGCTGTAGAAGAACTGGAAGCTGCACGTGAATCCGGGAGGTGCGCTGTATTTCGGCGACACTAGGACGGCAACATCGCCGTTGGACCTCGGGAATGATGTCTCAATGTACATATAGCCACCTGGTCAGGGAGTGTAGTGCATTCACACAATGGCAATGGGAGTTTGAGAATCTGTTACGAGTGCTGCTTGTGCATGGCAGTCATAGCGCAGTCGACAATGTGTGTGTGTGTGTGTGTGTGTGTGTGTGTGTGTGTGCGCGTGTGTGTGTCGCCCATCCCTGAACCTGCCTACAGGAATGTGCAGAAAGAGTGTGTGTGTGTGTGTGTGTGTGCGCGTGTGTGTGTGTGTGTGTGTGTGTGTGTCTGTGTGTGTGTGTGTGTGTGTGTGTGTGTGTGTGTGTGTGTGTGTGTCTGTGTGTGCCTTCAGCCAGCACCAGTCTCTGTGAAGCGTTCATTGTCTTTGTCAGCACACTTACCTACTGCAGTACCCAATGTGTGATCAGTGGAGGGTCCAGTGCTGAAGCTCGGCGTTGATCCAGTGCGCCGTGTCCAGTCAAAGTCATCAGTCGTGGACTGTGTGTATGCCTGGAGGCCAGTCTCGAATGTGATTGGGCCGTTGTTGCAGCCTGCGAGACAGAGCGGGAACACAAGTCTTGGATGTGGCACGTCACGGTTATGTCACAGTTCGCTGTGAACGGACTATACTATAGGTAGCATCCCATGTACTCGAAGTGCATTCCAGGTCACTTGCAGGTGACACAGAATGAGAAGCACTACCATGCCCGTGTATGTGCAAGGTACAAGATTGCATATGGTGGCTCTGGCGATGTTCTTTGCAGTGGAGAGTTAAGGTCTACCTAGCATGTCAAGGTCGGAGCCATGTACTCTCACTATACTTAGCAATTATCACAGAAGCGTATCAGTGCCAGCTCCAATACACACCTCTGCAGCAGTCTTTGCCAAAGCTCAAGTCATCCAGAGCGATATCGCCAGTAAAGCTGCCACCTCTCGAGGCTGTGAAGATGAGCTGAAAGCAGGGAGCACAAATACAAACAGAGAATGTCCACTCCACCTCCTGATGTCTAATGGTGGTAGCGAGTCAGTGTGGTTTGAAAAAAAGAGTTTGTACTGGTGAAAACAATCAAGCATGTATCAACAATACATGTATACGATTGACAGAGGTTTTCTTTTGTCACACACACATTAGCTTACTCTGAATGTGCCATAGCTTGTCAGCATAGGGATTGTGGCCTGATGCCATGTGTCACCCTGGTTTCCTGACTTTGTCCAGGCTGCGATTCTGCCACTTCCGGTGATGATGGTGACGTTGAGGTCGCCGATAGTGGAGCCAAACATGTGGTACCAGAAGGAGAAGGAGCATGTCTGTGTCGGTGCCTTGTACCATGGTGACCACAGGTTGGCAATATCACCGACAGAGCGTGGTGCTGATGTCTCAATGTACACATAGAAGCCTGGAGTGGGTGAGAGAGAGGGGGGGGGGGGGAGAGAAACAGATTGGGAGAGAGAAAGAGGCAGACAGACACATAGAGAGAGACGGTGGCAGAGAGACAGAAGGGCAAACAGACAGAGAGAAAGTCGGATAAAAGACAGGTAGTCATACAACCTGGGCAGCATTCACAGCTGTTCACAGGTTAGTTAGGTATGAACAGTCCTATGCTTATTTTATTCTCCTTCTCCTTTGCCAAGTTTACTGTCCCCTTGTCTTCCGGGGCGCATGCATTACAAATGTGCCTGAGGCTCAGGTTTGGTTTTGTGCAGGTGCTCAAGACTACCGTGGCCCCATGACCTCATATAATATATGAGGTCATGGGGCCACGGTAGCAATATTATTGCATTGCATGTATGCTGCAAACGTGGCAGGGACTGCCACATGGATGACTGCGAGTCTGATGGGCTTACCCGCGGAGCTGTTTGTGGTGTGGTCTCTGGAGGGTCCGGTGCTGAGTGACGATGTTCCACCGTTCTGCCTGATCCAGTCGAATTGATCAGCAGGGTCCTGGGTGTAGCCGCCGAAACCGCTCTCGAAGTTCTGGCTGGGTGATGCACACATATCAATGCCAGTCGGTGTGGGGACTGTTGGCGCCAGCGTAGGTGGTGTGGTCGGTTTGAAAGTGCCCTTGCATGGCTTGGAGAAGTCCACGTCTGTACGGCAAGAACAAAACGGCAAAACCAAATCACAGCTTCGTACCAGAAACCGTGCACAATGTCTTCATCGCATACAGAGATCTTTCAGTGTGCGGTGGTCCGAGCTGAAAACGGCAAGACGAAGAAACTTCCATGACAACTTACCACACACACGGAAGAGATCATATGCGCTCTCTGCACCCATGCGATAGGAGTTCTCCTGGTTGCCACTGGCGGCCGGGAAGAACACGCGCACCCAGCCGATGTTGTTGTGAAGGCTCATGTTGACAGTGACCAGGCCCGTGTCCATGCCGTCCTGGTTGGCCCACTTCCAGTCGCGTCCTCTGAACACAGTGATGTTCTCGTACATGATCTGTGCAATCTCCGCCGCAGCGTATCCGCTGTAGTCCGGTAGAGCTAAACGTCACAGCACAAGGACACAGCACAAGGTCACGGAACAAGGTCAAAGCACAATTATTAGATGTAATTCTAGGAGACAGAGACGTGACTACAGTCAACAGTAGAACTCCTTTCAGGCTCTTGGCAGCTAGATCCACCATGTTGACAAACGTTACATGTTCCAAAAGTTCAAATATTCATGTTCCAAAAGTACTCCATGTAATACAATTGACTCCATTACATGTGCACTGGCAGAACCATGCTTCTAGTTGGTGGATATAGCTTCTGCAGATGACATCATCCTATGTTTGGCGATGACATCATCCCATGTTTGGTATATGCTTTGTGTGCAGTGGCAAACTCGTATTTGTGAGGCCACTTTATGCAAGGCAATTGAGACGATGATGATGTAATCACAACACCTCTCCGGCAATTGAGACGATGATGATGTAATCACAACACCTCTTCGACTTCCATTAGCTTGCATCCGCATGTGAATAGCATGGAGCCATGCAAGTGTAAGCTTTCACAACGTATTCTGTATGCACTGGTAGTATTCTGCAGCTTGGTCTATAGAAGTGTCATTGCCACATAGTTACCCAGTCATAGTGGACAGTCGGGATAGGAGAACACAACAATTACGAGTGTGAATGTTTAGAGGCTAGCTGGCAGTGAAGTTAAGCAGACTGCATGAGGGCACGCGTGAAACTTACGAACTGAGCGGCACAGGTCGAACTGGCCACTGAAGCCAACTTGGTAGGAGAACGATCCGCCGTTGTCCCACTGGACGGTGACAGGTCCGAATGAGCTCTTTGGCGGTGCCTTTGTGATAGTGCCCTGGAATCCCCAGCCACCGTCCTGGCTGCCGTACTTCCAGTTGGCGCCGCGACCGACACGCGTGTGCTGAGCGAAGATGATTGACATTTGGAACGCGTTGTAGGGAGCGTACAGCTCACTGCAGTCTGTAACCAGCAGCAAGCAGACAAGCAAGTGCGAGGAGTCACTTCGGCCATACCAGCATTTTTTTTAAACAAATGCATGCACTGCATGGCCAGAGTCAGGGGACTGTGATCTATCCAATCTATGCTCCGGGCAGGCAGCACACCATACCAGAACTGTGATAAGACGTGTACCGCCGTTAGCAGCAAGAAAGCATACTTAGCATTAGAGGTACTTCTCATCCACACACGGTACTTCAGTCTGGATCACAATACAATGTCCGCCGTACTAAGCAAGCTGAGTACCTGTCTTATCAGAGTATTACCCGTGTACTAAGTGAGTTCCACTTCGATAGTTACATGCACAATACAGCAGCACAGCAGTAACACAGTGCTAAGGCACAACTGAGGCACAACTGAGCTAAGGCACAACTGAGCTAAGGCACAACTGAGCTAAGGCACAACTGAGCTAAGGCACAACTGAGCTAAGGCACAACTGAGCTAAGGCACAACTGAGCTAAGGCACAACTGAGCTAAGGCACAACTGAGCTAAGGCACAACTGAGCTAAGGCACAACTGAGGCACAACTGAGCTAAGGCACAACTGAGGCACAACTGAGCTAAGGCACAACTGAGCTAAGGCACAACTGAGGCACAACTGAGCTAAGGCACAACTGAGGCACAACTGAGCTAAGGCACAACTGAGGCACAACTGAGCTAAGGCACAACTGAGCTAAGGCACAACTGAGGCACAACTGAGCTAAGGCACAACTGAGGCACAACTGAGCTAAGGCACAACTGAGCTAAGGCACAACTGAGGCACAACTGAGCTAAGGCACAACTGAGGCACAACTGAGCTAAGGCACAACTGAGCTGGTATTTTTTCCAAGCAATACATGGCTGGGGTAGCCAATGACCACTTTGCAGGGTTTTTATAGCCAACCACGGCTATTACCTGCAGCCTCCAACTCTGTTAGTGGACACCAAACCATCATGCATTGATGTATTGCTGTGCTGTGTGCGGGAACATGTGTGATGAGAGGACTGACACAGAACTGACAAGACATAACCCCTAAGAACACAACGGCGTGGCTGTAATGTAGTAACCCCTTTTCACACAGTCACCAGTAGAGTGCAGTTCAAAGTCGACACACAGGACATTGACGCTTGACTTACATGTTCCGCAGCAGTCTTGGTTGAAGGTGATGTCGTCCAACGCTATGTCACCAGTAAACGACGAACCGGTGATGGCCTCAAACACAATCTGTAGGCACACGGAGAGATGGAACATGCTGTCTGTTGCAATGCACACTGCACCTTCACGTACACCCTGCACCGTCAGTCATCGTCAGAATCAATGGTTGTCTACAGCAGCATTCTGCAAACGGAATTTGTCATCAACCATCCTCTATGAGAGTGACTAGCAAGAACAAGAAAGAATTTTCCACCGGACCGTTTTCCACTGGGCTGTTTTCCACTGGACTGTTTTCCACCGGACTGTTTTCCACCGGACTGTTTTCCACCGGACTGTTTTGAGTCAGGAATACTGCAAGTCTACAGATTTTTGGCCCATTAAATCCCAGCCTCCCAGAGCTTAAACACATTTCGGCCCCCTTGATTTCGGCCTGTACTACTGCTGCCTGTATACACTGTCACACTGAATCTTGCAAAACAAAATTTCGTCCCCAACATATTTTCGCCTTTTTTCGGCCAAATATGCTTATCTAAGCACTCGCAGACTCCATTGCAGCCACTCACACATTATAGGCCGAAAATAGATATGCACCGAATATTTGTTGACTTGCAGTAGGTGAGGGTATACTTAGCGGGTTGTCCAGACCCCCCCCCCACACACACACATCCCCATGCATAGCGGACATCCTTCTGAGATGCATCATACATGTACATGATGTACGTGCAGCATGTGCTTACGTTGAATTCCGCGCTCTGGTTGACGAACACAGTCGCCCTCCTCCAGATGTTTCCCTGGTTTCCCTTCTTGGTCCAGGCCAGTTTCATGATGCCGCTCTGGTTCAGGTAAACGTTGAACGTGTTCACCGTCGCACCGTACATGTGGTACCAGAAGTTGAACGAGCACACTTTGGTCTTGCTGGAGATTGGCCTCGACACCAAGCGGGCGTTCCTGCCGGTGACGACTCCGGACGTCTCCAGGTAGACATAGTATCCTGGGTGGCACAGAGAAATCACCACATCAACCAGCGAAATCCCCACATCAATCAGAGAAATCCCCACATCAATCAGAGAAATCCCCACATCAATCAGAGAAATCACCACATCAATCAGAGAAATCCCCACATCAATCACCCAGTCACCCCGTTACCCCGTCACATCAATCACCCAGTCACGACACCAATCACCCTGTCATACCAATCATCCCGTCACACCAATCACCCAGTCACAACACCAATCACCCAGTCACCCCGTCACACCGATCACCCAGTCACAACATCAATCACCCCGTCATACCAGTCACCCACTCACACCAATCACGCCGTCACAGCTATTCCAGCGGAGCTAAACATCTGGATCGATAGATCTGTGCAGAGACACTCATGAAAGTGCGTGTTATCTGCCTCTATTTAGATATCAGGATATGCTTGTGTGGAACTTGACCATATTGTGTGGTGGTTCTTGCCTGCGTTGAAAGGCCATGGATGTAGTCCTGTAGCTGTCTCACCTGGTGTGCCGCCATGCAGTGTTTCTCACCTGTTGAGTTGGCATATGTGTGATCCCAAGAGGGGCCAGTCTGGAACGATGGTGTGCCTCCGGAGCGGCGCGCCCACTGGTAGTTGTCGGTAGCATCCTGCGTAAAGCCTTCCAGACCAGACTGGAAGTCGACCGTGGTGAAGCCGCAGGCTGTCAGCAAAGCAAAACACAGGCATAGTCACACACACACTACTGCTTACAAACTCCATATGGACTACATCACGTGCCTACAGTTTTTTGAATACCGTATACTCCTGTCATGCAGTCATTCGATGCTGCTCATTAGCACAGGGTTCATTAGTATACACATAGCCAGAAGAGAGGAGCAGACTGTTGCTACTCCAAGGTACTCGTTCAAACACGAGTAACAAGCAGCTGATGACCAGATTGTATCTGCTTGCACCCTTTCCACCGCTTGTTATAGTAGTTCATTGGGCGGCATTCACAAACGCCATTCCAACACCAATGACGGAACCTTGTACAGAGAGATTACAGACTCTATCAGTGTACGGTGCACGGCTTACCCTTTACAACTCGGCAGCAGCCGTCTTGGAAGCCTGCATCATCGACAGCGATGTCTCCTGTGAAGCTTGATCCCACAATGCCGACAAAGCTCACCTGCATAAACAGCAACAGCAACAGCCCACCCAGTGTATCAGACTTAGGAAACCAGGCGTAACCGAGCACCGCAGACCTACATGTAGCTACACATGTAGCTACACCGTGCACCCGTCCAAGCGGCCGAGTTTTCATAATTTGACACAGGCTGCACATGATGTACCTGCCGTGTTCCTTGCGCATTCCACATTCCTGCGTGTCCGTAGAAACCGTCAACGCATTTTCGTATTGTACCAAATGGGAAGCACAATTCGAGAAAATCGTCTATCAACAGCGAGGAGTAGTAATTCTTAAGATATCGCATTGTTCCGAGAGCACCCCCCCCCCCCCCCCCACACACACACACTCCCACCCAAGTGCAATAATTTCACGACTACTTGCACCAGTGTCAGTCAGACTAGCTTCTCTGCATCCGTGTCAACTTACTTGCACTGTTTGTCCAACCAGTCTTGCTGGTAGTCTGGCCTTACCAAACTGCCATGAGTTGCCTTGATCGCCCGAGCGCGACCAGATTGTGAAGTTGGTAGTTGTGCCAGCAATGGTCACGACAATGTTCAATGTGCCGGTGGTCGTTCCCGACATGTGGTACCAGAAGCCGTACTCGCAGCCGTTCTCGGCAATCGAGTACACGCCGGACGTAATGATGGCTATGTCACCACCGGTCCTGGGGAAGGATGTCTCGATGTAGATGTATGATCCTGCATGGGGAAGGAGCACCCGGTACACACGCACAGAGTCAGAGATGGGAATCGCTTCCATGGGGGCACCCCATACACGAGCATAGAGTCAGAGATGGGAATCGCTTCCATGGGGGCACCCCATACACGAGCATAGAGTCAGAGATGGGAATCGCTTCCATGGGGCACCCCATACACGAGCATAGAGTCAGAGATGGAAAACGCTTCACATCTTCACCAGTACACCATGTGCTGAATTTCGAATGATGCCATCAACCCGTGTTCCAATTGGGACCTCTGGTCTCTGGCATATATACTTGTGGTTGCATGCTTGAATCAACGACCACATTCGCACATCTAATCATCCAAACCCGAGCACCCCCCCCCCCCCCCTCCCCCAGCTGGAAACATACCTCCACTAACAGTTGAGCCCGTGTCAAACTTGCACAACTCACTGCCGTCAAAGGTGTTGTTCTAGGCCATCTCAGATGACTAGAAATGTTGACGCACGGCATGCTATTCCTACGGGGCCTCTTGCACCTCATACACTGTAGGCATAGCATACTAAATATGTACAAGTACACATGCCAAGCCCATCCTATAGACACCCCCATGCACACCCCCCCCCCCCCCCACACACACACACGCACGCACACACACACACACACACAGCACTCACCATTTCCTCCATGGCCTGTAGTTGGTCCAGTACCGAATGATGGTGTGTTACCAGCGCGTCTTGTCCAGTCAAAGTGGTCACCAGTTTCCTGGCTGAAGCCATCCAGACCAGAGTTGAAAGTGGCAATTGGTGCTCCACAGCCTGATTGCAAAAATAGAGTAGGAGCGTCATGAAATGCAGAAGTACGTTCACAATGTTTTTGGTACATATATGTAGGACTCAGTATAGAGTCCATGCACTATATGATGTCCAGCACCCTATATAGAGTCCATTGGTCCAAAATCCACTATACAGAGTCCAGGAGTCCACTCAGTTTTGATCAGCTTCATCCTGCCGCGCAATCCCCTATAAGGAGTACACTTTTTCTACAAGTCCCCTATTCACGGTCCAGGAGTCCAGTTTATCCAGTCACGCCGTCCTGTGTGTTGTGCCCGAAAGAGAACACATTTTCAGTTTTCAATGCTTGCCTCGTGGCAGCGCATTCCTTTCTTCACTTCAGCCATGGCTGCCAATTCTGCTGTGCAGTTGCTGACAGTAATCTGTCTCGAGCTAACCAAGGAGGATAAGGAGACGTTCAAAATCAAATCTGGAAAGCGTCTTGTGGTTCTCTGAAGACGTTTCATCAGTGCGCGGGATGAAAGCAGAAATTGCAGAACGAGAAAAGTTCAGCACAGTTCAAATCTGACGAGGCAGGTACACTGACGCTCTCTTTCGTTCGACGCCACAAGGATCCCCTGTTTGGCTGGCCATTTCTGCCAGTAAGACGTTTGAACGGTTTCATCAGAGCGAGGGATGAAAGCAGAAAGCGGAGAAAGAGAAAAGTTCAGCACAGTTGCAATCTGACGAGTCAGATACACTGACACTCTCTTTCGTTCGACGCCACAAGGATACCCCTGTTTGACTAGACAAGAGCTGCCTGTACAACCGTGTCAAAAGGCTGTGCAACTTCATGGCAGGACGATGACTGAGGTAAGGAAGCTTTTACTCGTTTCGATTGGTCTGCTGTTCTGTCGTTATGCTTGAATTTTTTTTCCATTTTCAAGGAGCGTATCGCGTTTGTTTGATGTTGCTTGAATGAATGCCCTAAAAGTAATCAACCACTTCGTAATAGTCCTCAAGGACTGCAAGGACTTTGCATCAATCGTATATTATGATCGTCTAGCTATCATCAATAATTATTTTATTTCATGAGAAATGTATTTTTATCCCTGTGATAATTATGTGAACTCCACGACACTCTTCCTGTAGTATGATATCAAATACAATGGGATCCACAAACGCAGTGCCAGTGTACTAGTAGTAGTAGGACTAGGAGGATTGCTTGTATGCCAATGATAAGAAAAAGCTTCTCAAGCTAATACTCGTAGCTAATACTCGTATTCCCTGAAGTAACCGTTTTGATGTCACGAACATGACATTGTGTCAGTGAAACTGCCTCGTGACAACAAATCATTGCATTTCCATCTTGGGGAAGACTGACAGCAACGCTGTACAGATTGTTCAAATCATCTCATTTCAATTTAGTTGCAGTGAAGTGAAACACTGTGTACACTACATGTATGTTGGTGTGTCTGTGCGTCTTGAGTGTGCACAAACGATCTTATTCCTCGTATTACTAATAGATTATTTTCCCCACCATCACCTGTTCACAGGTCTTTGAGTGGATTGATTTTCATTGAGCATCACATTCGTTGAGAACTTGGTAGTTGTGTGCTCCCATGCATCATTACGGTAATAAGCGTATCCTTGTGCTATCTATTTGTTGCAGGTGTGCTGATCTTCAGAAGCTTGCGGAACTGAGTGCTGCTGAACATTTGCATGGCCATGAGCAATGGTGAAGCTTGCTATTGCACTCTCAGCATGTACTAGTATTATGCTGACCACTGCACTATGTTACTCTCTTACACTACTACGTGTATGTAAACGTGCGTGTACCCGTCCCCGTACGCATTCGTTTCGTATAATTATTTGTTATCCCTCTTGACTTTACATGTAAGTGGGTGGACGTTTGCATGGCTGTTGGAGTTGCGTGTGTATTGTGTCTCTACTCTTTTCTTGGTGTTTTCTTGGCGTTGTATAAGTTTGTGTGTGTGTGTGTGTGTGTGTGTGTGTGTGCGCGCGCGCGCACAATAATTTGAAAACAAATAATTAATCCTGGGCTCTCCATTATTCCCTTTCGATTCTTGTTTTTTTTCTAGGTATTTTCTTGGCGTTGTGTGGGTGTGTGCATGTGTGTGCGTGCACAATAATTATGCAACACTACATGATTGAGATATTGTAATTTGCAGCGTCTGCGAAGAGACCACTTGATTTGAGGATGGTGTTTGTAGGGTTTTTCATGTAATGAAGTGGTAGACTGTGAGCCAAGTGCATGAATTCATGATTTTCGTTCCCACTTTGGGTGTACCGCGATTTTGTTCTTTTAGCATGTGGAGAGACCTAATAGAAGATCATTTTTGATTGTTGTCAGTTTGGGAAGCTTGCAGGGAAGTCAAAATAAGCAATTATCTTAACATACCCCGTTTCCATAGCAACTACATAGCAACTGACATAGCAACATGCTATTTTGAAGGTGTTTCTTACTTTTTTCAGCAGGCAACGGCACTGGACGAAGAAATGCATATCAAGCGTCATTGCAGCTGGGTTAAAATAACTATACGAGGCCAAAAATTATAGAATTACGCATAAGTGCATTGTATAATGTACGTGCACATTTTAAATATTACTCGAAGTGACGATGCACTGGTAGGTAAGTGCACATGAAATGGTGCCGACAACCACGAAATGCATTTCAGGAATGATAATGTACAGAACAAACAGGTGGCATTCACTATACAAAGCCCAGCAGCAGCGAATTCTCCAGACAACGGTTGGAAAAGACCATCAACAACAGCCAGGAGAATCTGGTTTAATCCGGTGCAATGCTCATTTCACCCTCTACATCTCTATAATATATACATGTACAGTATGGCAGAATAATGTTAAAGAAGTTGCTGGATACAGGATTCGTATATTTGCACTCATATAACTGATCAATGTACCGTTACTTCGTAAGTACTGCTGTATTGCTTCCTAACTTATAAGTGCAAAGGGTAGAGCAATGACCGTAACCAGTAACGTTAGAGGACCGCAGGGGTATACCGGTAGATACAGATCTGTAGTTTATTTGAACTATAATAATAATTATTTTGAAACATTAGTTACATTACCCATTGTATGTACAGAACACAAGCGGAAAGATACAATTAATCATAGTCTGAAGCACTTCAGTATAAAAGATCGAAACAGTTATTAGCTCTCCGGAGATACGGTACATTGTGCGTTCTACATGTATTTCTGCTCCAACAGATTACAAAAACCTTTAGTTTAGCTTGACTGATCAGCAGCAAGCATGCTAGCACACTGATATGATTGACATGATGATGTTCGCACTGCCACTGCGCTGCACTAGCACTGCACACAATACTATAGAAACCACGAAAAAACATCGTCATGATGCGGCTGGGTTTGCACCACCGTACATTTTTGCGAGGTCAGTGGTGCAACAGAAGTCCGGTCCAGCTCTTGTGACCTTGGTTCTTGTCGATGGCGGCTATTGATTTGGCCAAAGTAGTTTCTCCCTTCTATTTGGGCATGTTCGTGCCTGATTTGGAAGTGACAACAAGCTGAATTCGTATCTAGTCGAGTAGATGAAACGAACTGGGGAAAAAAATTGCGGTACGCTCAAGGTCGGAACGAAAAAAAATTCTAACAGGATTTTTGGTGCCTGGCTCACAGTCTATGGCTGCAGTGGCGCCTCAATACATATTTTTTATCTTGAGAAGTGAATGATGTAAAGGATTAAAGGGAGAGGCCGTTTTCTGGTTAATATTCACTGCTTACAGCAGATCCTATGTCTATTTTCGAACTCGATAGGGGATGCCTAATTGGCTGGACTTTATACAGGGGGTGTTGTCCACATAGACTCTTTATAGTTGATTTCAAAGTTTGGACTCCGTACAGTTGATTTTGGACCAATGGACTCTATATAGGGGTGAAGCCAATTGGCTGGACTCTATACAGGGAGTGATGTCCATCGAAACTTTGAGCTCACAGTTGATTCCAAGTTTGGACTCTGTACAGTGGATTTTGGACCAATGGACTCTATATAGGGGTTGGACATCATATAGGGGCTGGACGCTCTACTGAGTCCAACATATACACACACACACACACACACACACACATACACACACACACACACACACACACACATGCACATACTCACATATGTATGCACACATACACACAGACACACGGACACACACACACACACACGCATGCACACACGCACGCACGCACGCACGCACGCACGCACACACTCTCTCTCTCTCTCTCTCTCTCTCTCTCTCTCTCTCTCTCTCTCTCTCTCTGACACACACACACACACACACACACACTGCCTCCCCATTTCAGAAAGTGTCTACAGAGTGGAAGGATTACTATTCTAGGCACCGGGAAGATTCCTCTCCTTGAGGCATGGAGAATAGAGAAAACTCTGTCTGTGTAGGTTGAACTGATTATTATGATCCATTCTTCTTGTATTAATTTTGGAAAGATTGCATAATATAATTGCAGCCGGCGTTGTCATTCTAAATGCTATGTTTGCTGTTTTGTACTTACTGGCAGTTGCACAGCATGTGGTGCTGAACTGGAAGTCATCGATGGCAATGTCGCCAGTGAACGATGATCCAGCAACGCCTTCGATGATAACCTGAGTGTGGAGAGAGAGAGACACACACAGTGTGACAAGTGCCATTTCAATGCAGACAGGCTCAAGTAAGTGTGGCTCTCAAGTGCAATGTATGTGTGGCTCTCAAGTATGTTGTCCTGCTGCTGCTGCACTGCACTGCACTGCTACAGTATGAGTCAGAAATCATAATATCTCTAGAAATACAGAACTTACTACTCTTGAAGTACCAAAATGACAGCTTAGAACTACACACATGTGGGCAGTGTTGCTGCATTGGTGCTCGATGCACACAATATGCAGTGCCGTTCACACATGACCGTGTTCATAGTGTGTGTATTCTAGAATGCAGTCGCATCAGTTGTCATGCTGCTGCCAGCCCAAAGCGGCAAGTTGATTACCATGTGTCTCTGGGTACTCACCCTGAAAACGCCGCTGTAGCTGATCGGAATGGGGCCGGTTGAGATCCACTTGTTGCCCTGGTTACCGGACTTGCTCCAGGCCTTGCGGATCTTGCCGCCTGACTGGATGTTCACGTTGAGTGTGTTGACGGTGGCACCGTACATGTTGTACCAGAACGACAGGCTGCACGAGGTGGTCTGCGATGTGAAGAAGGGGCTGTACAGACGAGCCACATCGCCGTTCGTCCTTGGCGACGACGTCTCGATGTACAAGTAATATCCTGTACAGGAGCAATGCATGGGAAGCAGCAGTGAGGCAATAGGACAGAGCATAAACTTTGTGCTGAACCTAGATGGAGTGTGGCATGAAAAACTGTTTTCTCAATACAGAAAGAGCACACGCACAATATTTAGTATTTACACCGGGCTACACACCCACTCAGTACTCACAGGCATTAAAATACCCACTCAGTACTCACAGGCATTACAATGCCCACTCAGTACTCATAGACAATAATACAGACTCACTGTTCATAGACACAGATGCACATTCGGCACTCATAGACACAGATGCACATTCGGCACTCATAGACACAGATGCACATTTGGCACTCATAGACATCAGCTAAGGCACACTCAGTACTCATAGACACGGATTCACGCTCAGTAGTTACAGATACAAATCCACGTTGGGAAATACTGTGCACCAGCATCGTGTCAACATGTCCACGTTGGGAAATACCGTGCACCAGCATCGTGTCAACATGTCCACGTTGGGAAATACCGTGCACCAGCATCGTGTCAACATGTCCACGTTGGGAAATACCGTGCACCAGCATCGTGTCAACATGTCCACGTTGGGAAATACCGTGCACCAGCATCGTGTCAACATGTCCACGCTAAATACCGTGCACCAGCATCGTGTCAACATGTCCATGCTAAATACTGTGCACCAGCATCGTGTCAACATGTCCACGTTGGGAAATACTGTGCACCAGCATCGTGTCAACATGTCCACGTTGGGAAATACCGTGCACCAGCATCGTGTCAACATGTCCACGTTGGGAAATACTGTGCACCAGCATCGTGTCAACATGTCCACGTTGGGAAATACCGTGCACCAGCATCGTGGCAACATGTCCATGCTAAATACTGTGCACCAGCATCGTGTCAACATGTCCATGCTAAATACTGTGCACCAGCATCGTGTCAACATGTCCATGCTAAATACCGTGCACCAGCATCGTGTCAACATGTCCACGTTGGGAAATACTGTGCACCAGCATCGTGTCAACATGTCCACGTTGGGAAATACCGTGCACCAGCATCGTGGCAACATGTCCATGCTAAATACTGTGCACCAGCATCGTGTCAACATGTCCATGCTAAATACTGTGCACCAGCATCGTGTCAACATGTCCATGCTAAATACCGTGCACCAGCATCGTGTCAACATGTCCATGCTACCCGCTACCTACCTGTTCCTGTTGTATGATCGCCGGAAGGACCAGTGGAGGATGACGACGTTGAGCCACGTCGCCGCGTCCAGTCGAACACGTCCAGCTTGTCCTGGGTGAAGTTCATCATGCCGATGTCAAAGTTGTTGGAGTATCCGCATGCTATTCACAACAGTGCACGTATACAATATAGGCAAATGGTGGTTTAGCGTGTGCGCTAAGCCCTGTTAACGAACGTGGAACATCTACCACTCATACTTAGTCCGATGATCATGCATCTGATTATGATGTCATTGCTATACATGCGCATGCGCAGCGCGCGCCACTCTCCCACGCGTGCATTCCAAATCTTGCTTTAGGGAGAGAGAAGGAGAAAAGAGAGACTCCTTTGTCACTTGTGCTTTCCGACGACTTGACTGTTCACTGGTTTGTCCGTCAGCTGTCAATTTCCCCTTCCCTCCCAACCCCATTCGACTGGGGATCCCTATCTCTCCGTCACTGTCACCATAATTTCCTCAATAACAGTGTCAGTACAACTCTTGTCAATATACTTATATCGGGTGAGGGCAGTCTATCTCCGCAGCTGGCTCATTTCAATCACTACCGGTCGCAGCCCCTGCCCACGGCAGGCCGACCGTCTCTCGTTCACACTCTGTGTGCTCCAGGTCACAGCTCCTGCGCAGAGCAGGCCGACCTGTCTGTCTCTCTCTCTCTCTCTCACACACACTATGTGTGCACCGGGTCACAGCTCCTGCGCAGAGCAGGCCGACCTGTCTTTCTCATGCACGCCAGCTGCTCCGCCCAATATCCCTGATATGCCAACCAGAAAACAATGTGTTCTGAGCCGGGTGCATGCCTGTATGTGGAGAGTGCGTTAATGCACGGATTACAATTTAGTGCTGTTGCAACATGCCGATGCACATCGATGGCAACTCTCTGTTATCTTTGTGGAGTACTGTGGAGTACTGTGGAGTACTGTGGAGTACTGTGGAGTACTGTGACCTTAGCCAAGCAGAACATCATTCATGGCCATTCACAGAATCTTACAGCATTAATAGATGACGTGATATTTGGCCAAGACTTACCCGTTGGTGCGAACGGTGGCTCAGTTGTCACGGTGGCATTGCTCTCTGCAACAACAGGAGAGCAAAGAGCATATCACAGCACAGTCCTCCTTGACGGCACGTGTTGTCTCACTTGTTAGCTTGCCAACCCATACCAGCCCAGTCCGTGACGGTGTTGCATGTTAAGATGATTCTGTGTGTGTGTGTGTGTGTGTGTGTGTGTGTGTGTGTGTGTGCGCGCGCATGCGCATGCGTGTGTGTATGTATGTGTGTGATGACATCCATGGCCCAACGGGACAAATCCCCTTATACGTGTGTGGACAGGGGTGGGCAATAGCTGTACTACATGTATATGTCATGACCAAAGTGGAGTGGGAAATATACTGCAGTCGTACATGTAGTTCTGGCACTCAGCATGTAATACCGCAGCTAAGAAGACTCACCGAGACACAGGTCGTACTTTCCGGAGGCACCCATGCGGTAGGAGTTGGTGTGGCCATTGTCCCAGGTGACTCTCACCCAACCGGTGGTCGTTTGGCCGAGGGTAGCGATGATGGTACCGTTAGTGCCACCGTGCTGCGGTCCCCATGACCAGTCTACGCCTTCAGTGACGCGGGTGCCCACTGAGAAGATCAGTGTCAGCTGTGCTACGGTGTAGCTTGCCCATGGGTAGCAATAGCCTGCAGTGGCAAACGGAGGATTTGTGCAATTACAGGTCAGCATTGGTGTCAACATAACGCACGGATCTGCAGCCGAGCATGCTATTCTGGCCTGCAGCACATTGGCACTGATACTGATAGTCTCCCATGCTAATTCTAGCCTTGATGCTGCTGTCGTGAAGGCAGCAGGGCTACTAGCAGTGGAGAATACATGCCTGTGCAGTCCTTTCTTCTTCTTGGAAATCTATTGCGATAACTATGAGGACTATCTGATGCTTACCGTTGACAGGTGGAGTTGTAGGAGTGGGCGATGGAGGCTGGGTAGTGGGGGGTGCCACTGCACCTTGCTGAGCTGCACAGACAATATGTATGGCATAAAGCAAGGACTTAAGTGATGCAGCGGTTTGCATGCATGCACACACAAACACAGAAGCACGCCCATGTGCACACACACACACGGTACACACACAAAAATGTGCACACACACATACCGTTGTAACGTCGTCATGAAACTTACGGATCTGCAGGTAGAGGTCGTACTTGGAGCTTGCGCCCATCCGGTAGGAATTGAGATGGCCATCGTCCCATCTGACTTGCACCCATCCGGTCGAGGAATAATTGCCCAAGCCCTGGGTAATAGTACCGGCTGTGTTGTTTCCCTGATTGCCCCATGACCAGTGAGCTCCACGAATGACACGTGTGCCTTGACGGAAGCTAGATGTGATCTGTGCTGTAGTGTACTGACTCCAAATAGGACGTGCTGTGCGGCAGCAGAGAGAACAGAGAATAATACAATGTTAAGTGTCCGGGGCGAATGGTTGACTGTTTGCCCGGGCACGTGTGCTGCTCTCTATGTTGAGGGCTAGATGCATAGTGGATTGCAAGAACAGTGTCAAGCATTGCCTGCATTGAAGTCATGTAAAACAAATAAAATAAAAAATAAAATACCCGACCGACTGGTATTTTTCTGGCCCTGTTACCCGAAACAAGACACTTTTCGGTGTGGCCTAATAATACACTATTCAGAACCACGGCCGGTGTGCCCACTACTCGTGGCCTTGGTCCTGGACATGCATGTGCCAGCTGCAGCTTGAAAGCTGAAATGTGTGCGATACGAGAGAGCCTAGTAAATGTGGTAACACTCCAGTGCACTTGATTGGATGACACAGCAACAGTCTCTGAGTGTGTGGGGAGCGCGGGCACCCTTGGGAGAAACTTACAGCTGCAGCAGTCAGGTGTCAGCCAGATGTCGTCCAACGCAATATCCGATGTGAAAGATGTGCCAGCGATGGCCTCAAACGCCACCTGGGGAGAAAGCAAAACAGCGCAAACCACCGACATGCCATACATGATAAGGTCTTTTTCCTATGCGTAATGAACATGGTAAGATGTTGTGTAGGAAACATGAGAATAAAGATCTACAGTAGGTTGCCACCGGGAGCATTTGCTTGACTTTACGAGTATGAGCAACGAGTGCTGTTCCAGGCAAATTGCAACAGGGCTGCATCCATGTCCACAGCGGTCCACCCCAATCATGCCGGATTGTCTAGGCTGTGCAGGATCAGTTTTGTGTGTATGTGTGTGTGTGTGTGTGTGTGTGTGTGTGTGTGTGTGTGTGTGTGTTACACGATGCTAGCCGTACTGTACCTTGAAAGTTGATGTACTGACGGACGATCCAAGACGAGCAACACCTCTGTACCAGGTGTTGCCCTTGTTGCCCTTCATCTGCCAGATGATGGGGCTAGTTGTGCTGGTTCCCTGGCGAACGTTCAGAGTGTTGACCGTGGATCCGTACATGTGGTACCAGAAGACAACCGCGCATTGTGGTCCCTTCGCCGGGCCGGCGGGTGGCAGGCTGATGATGGCGTTGGCGCCACTGGCTACTCCGCTCGTCTCAATGTAAATATAGTATCCCAGAGCTGTGTGCATGAAGCCGTAACAGAACGGCAACAGTACGACAGCACAACAGTACAACAACACAACATAACAACCGACCAACATCAGTGTAGCATTGAAACATATTGCTAGGTGCGTTGTGAGTTACCTCTGGTCATTGAGTTGTATCCCGAATGGAGTTATTGCATGCAGCGCGTGTCAATCACTGACGGATAGATTCTCCGAAAGTGACAGCAACAGTGGCAATAGCACATGAAGGAGCACCGATAGCAACAGCACCACCACCGGCAGCAGGATCGGTGCAGAAAGCAGCAGTGGGAGCAGTAGTTTTGGTAATGAAGTAGCAGTAGCAGCAACAACCACAACACACACACACACACACACACACACACACACGCACACACACACACACATTGTGAGGATGATCAGGCTCTTACCAGTTCCAAGGGTATGATCTGTTGATGGACCAGTTGCAGTAGACGGTGTGCCGCCCCTGTTCACTCTCCAATTGAGGGTATCACTTGTAGACTGTACCAAAGGAGCAACGCTATTGCTTTCAAACGTATACTGGTTGGTACAAGCTGTAGATGAGAGATTAGCAACAGAAACGCACAAGGCAAGAACAGAGATGGGAAGGAAGGCTAACTTTGCAGGAAGTGGATCTATGGGGTTTACGCAAACCGGCATTGCAAATGGCATAGGAAGGTGCTTGCTTGTCAACTTGTGCGTGTGCTTGTGTGTTTATGCTTGTTTGTGTGTGTGTGGGGGGGGGGGGGGGGTGGGGGCGTGTATGCGCCTGTGCGTGTGTGGTTGAAAATCACCACAATGTTGGGCAGTGCCTGTGCGTAAACCCGGGCAACAGCGCAAGAGGGAATACGCTATTTGATTTATTGAAATCAGAAAATCCTCCGATCTGCAGAGACTCGCTGTGAATCCATCTCTCTGACATGCTATCTACCTCAGACTAATGGAGTCTTGTAGACACAACTCTAAGCACTCCTTTAACAATACCCTGCTAATCATGGTCCAAGGCTTACCATAACATCCACAGCCAGTACCGAAGGAAAGGTCATCCAGAGAAATGTCTCCAGTGAAGCTAGATCCTCTCGTTACAATGAATTGCAGCTGGTAAATAGAGAGAAGAAACACAGAAGCATATTCATATAGGCCCTCGCCCTGAGAACACATGCACATACCTACGTACATATCCCTGCACATACCTATGTATATACTTATGCACAGGAGAAAATGGACGAGTACGTGAACACATCCACTAACATTAGCATTTAGCGAAGCAGTGAGAGACGCTGCAACGCCATGCATGTGCATGTCATCTGTGTACACAAGTGTGTGCGTTTGTGCGTTTGTGTGTGTGTGTGTGTGTGTGTGTGTGTGTGTGTGTGTGTGTGTGTGTGTGTGTGTGTGTGCATGTGCATGGGAGCGTATCCATCTGCATCCATGGGTGCACAAACGCACGCACAAACACAGACACACAAACACACACACACACACAGACAAACCCCCCCCCCCCCCCACACACACACAAGCAAAGGATTGGAATTGATCTGATCTGTGCTGCGGCTTACACTATTGATCCAGGCTGATTGCTTGATAGTCACCGTGGCCTGTAGCCATGCTGTTCCTTGGTTGCCGGACTTAGTCCAAAGACTGGATGCTGGTACACGCAGCAGACTGGACACAAGCTCCAGTTCTAGTTTTCCAATTGTTGATCCGTACATGTGGTACCAGAATGTGAATGTGCAGCCAGTGGACGACGGTGGTAGGATTGGCGGTGAAATCAGCCTGGCTTTGTCTCCAAGCGAAGCCGGTGAGCTGGTCTCCACATAGATGTAGTATCCTGCACAGTTCAACCGAACACATTTATGAAATGTCAGTATGGACTGGTTGATGTGGGCGACTTGACTGCACCGGCCCTAACATGGTGATATGAAATGAATGTGCGCTGACATGTCAGTGAAACACTACCTGTACTTAACAGTTAACACTACCTGTACTTAACAGTTAACACTACCTGTACATGTACTTAACATGCTACAGTT